AATACTATTTAAACAAAAAATCAAATTAATATATAATTTTTAGGCTTAATGAATTTGAAAACTACCCTACTCTTTTTTATAGTATTATGTACATGTAATATGAAAAGAAGAGGGGACTTTTCTTAATCTCATTTCGTTCCTAGACAAAAATATTCTACCAAAAAACGTTATCAAAAAAATATTCTACAAAAAATCTAAATATTTTATCATAACTTAAAATATTCTACAAAAAAATGCAATATGGAAAATATATACAAAAATTCTCAAAAGTTGCAATATATTCTACAAGATATTATAACTATGTTGTAAATAAATCAAATAATTATGTTTGATTTAATTTTTTGTTCGATTTAACATTTTGTTCCATTCAACAAAATCAAATATTTATTGAAAATATATCGAATATTTACGAATATCGAATCGAATATCTTTATTTGAATTCGAATCATAAAATTTCGAATATAAATATTAAAAATTTAAATCGAACAAAATTGTTTGATTTATTTACAACGTAGTTGTAATATTTTGTAGAATATATTGCAACTTTTGAGAATTTTTGTATATATTTTCCATATTGTATTTTTTTTTAAGAATATTTCAAATTATGATAAAATATTTAGATTTTTTGTAGATTTTTTTTTTTTAATAATGTTTTTGGTAGAATTTTTTTGTCTAGGAACGAAATAAGATTAGAAAAAGTCACCTCTTCTTTTCATATTACATGTACATAATACTATAAAAAGAGTAGGATAGTCTTCAAATTCACTAAGCCTACCAATAAATTAGATGGTTAGGTTATCCAAAAAATTGAAAAAGTTAAAGTTTGTTTGGTTGTGATTTAAAATTGATTTAAAATTATATATTGATTTGAATTTTTATTTCAATAATATTTTGATTTGATATTTTGTAAAAAAAATATATATATTTATATTAAAAATTTTATAGAGTAAATACTACTAATTTGGATTGTAGTCAGAGATTTTAAATTCTCACAAATTTCATTACAAAATTTTTATAGAAAAATATTATATCAAATAATATTAATAAAAAAAACTAAAACACAAACACAATATATAAACCAATATTTTTTACAATCAATTAAAAAAAAGAGAGTTAAGACTATTTAAGAGAGAAGACATTATAATTTCAATATACCATATAATTTATAGTAAATACAAATAAACACAACACTACTTTAGAGTAAATTTATATTAAACACAAACAAACACGGGGCTGTATTCAATATAGATTTTGTAGGGTTTTGTTGGACTTTCAACATCTGGATGTATTCAATTAAGACTTTTAAAATTTTTTTAAAATTTTGAGGTATTCAATCTAAACTTTTAAAAGTCTTTTAAAATCTTGACGTACTCAATCCAGACTTTTAAAAGTTTTTTAAAATCTTGAAATATTCAACAATCCATAGACTTTTAATGAAAAATTATGAAAATTTTGTATAGGAAATAATCTCTCATTGTCATCACAAATTTTGATGGATTCTTAAAATTATTATTATTATGATTATTATTATTATTGTTGTTGTATATGTGATCAATAATATGATAATATTTATTAATATTATTATAATTTTTAATAAAAATAATAATTTAAAACTAAAATATATTAGCAAGTTATTATGATTTTTTAAAAATATTATTATCACAATAAATATGTATTACTGTCATTTTTTTTTTCAATTATCGAATATACTATATTATCATTACAATAACAGTAAAATAGATATTTAAATATATATTTTTTGTTGAACCGTTAATTTATATTTTTTTTATTTATGTATTTTAATATTTTTTTTCAAAAATTGTAAATTATATATTTTTATTTTATTTATATACGTATTTTTTATTTTATTTATAACTAATAAAAAAATATAAAAATAATTTTATATATTGAATGATAATATAATACTAAAATTATAAAATTAAAATTAATAATTTATAATATAGCAGTATTACAGACGTTACAATACTTCTAGGTTATTAATACTTATATATTATTTATTAATATTAAATATTATTTTATTAATAATTATTTATTATATTTATAAAAATTTTTGTTTGATATAAATTTATATAATTAATATATATTCATAAAAAAATTATTTTACAATCCTACAAAATCCATATAAATCCATAAAGAATTCAATCAAATTCGTAGAAATCCATCTAAATCAATTACTAAAATTCATCGAACTCAACGTAGACTCTGTAGATTTTCTAAATCCACATGAATCTATAGACTTTTTAAAATAAAAAAAAAAATCAATTAAAATTCCAATTGAATACACCCCCCTAAATGTTTATTTTTTTAAGGCAATCGGATGAACGCTAATAACATATATCCATTGTTATAATTTTCTATTTATCCTCCCATTTATATTCTTCATTCATAACATTTTACAAAGTTTGTAGAATATAATTGTTGAGTATAAAATTTATGATTAGGGTAATGATCCAAAATAAAAGGAGATGTGGGCCCGTCATTGGACCTATCAGATGGCTAAGGGTTTCTCGAGGCGGTCGGTTGGTCAACAGTCCGTTTAAGGGGCCAAGGGTTTATCTGGGCGGAAGGATCGGCGGCTAGGCGGTCGGTTGGTCAGCCGCCCATTTAAAGAGACAGGGCAGTACGGGGATGGTCGGACGAGCAGTTGAATTCGATAACTAACAGAAACGGTTGGTGGGAAGTTTAAGACACGTGTCAGTTGGGGCGGTTTATGGCAGTTGCGGTAACCGACCAGGTGATATTTTGAAATGTTTCCTTATAAATTATTTAATGATTCAGGGAAATTCAGATAAGGGATCTTCAATCAGACAAGAATTAATTACGAATTCCCTGTTGGGGGTGACCCTTTATTTTCATGTATTTACTACTTTGCTCTACAAATAAATTTTATTCAAATTCGATAACATTTTCGGATTTTACTTTGTGTTGTTGAAAAAACCATCCAACAAATTGGCAACCACAGTGGGAGATAAAGCAAGATAGCTAATCCTACTTTCAATAACGACTTCATACGTTTGCGTTCCAGGCGGATTATTAGTAGAAATACTATGGCAGGCACCCAATCTCAAACCAACACCACCGGTGTCGGAGTTTTTGCAGTGACGTCAAATCCAACTACATTTGTTCCTACCACAGGAGGGACGTCTCAAGTACAGCCTGAATGGTTGACTTATGTTCAGCAATTGAACAATCAACAGATGACTACCATACAAACAATGTTGCACGATCAACATAATTTAATGCAGAACATGCTGAATCAGACGTTGTCCAATGTCACATTACATTCAAGCACTTTCCCAGCCTTGTCACCTTCTCGCTTTCAGACAACTTTTCCGGGACCAACATTTGCAGGGCCGTCATACATCGATAGTACAGTTCCTAGTGCCACTACTCCCAATCGAGCAGATAGGGGAAAGACTCCTCTACCTTTCCCAAATAATATTCCTTTGGGGCCAAGAATTGACAACACTCGGCCGAACATCATGAGGGAAGATAGACAAGGAGGACATATACATGATCCTATTCATATCCCTGATCATCAACACCCTCGATTGGATCTTGAAGAAATTGCACATGTCCTGAGGGTTCATTTCGGCATGAATCCCAACGTGGCCAACCGCTCCGCCTATCAAAGACCTTTTCCAGAAAGGATCATCAACGATTACCCTCTCCCAAAGAATTATCGACCACCCGACTTTCATTCTTTCTCAGGAGAAGATGGATCTTCTACCATAGAACATGTGGGTCGTTTCACGGCGCAATTAGAAGAAATCGGTAATAATCCTTTTTATAAATTGCAACCGTTTGGTTTGTCTCTTACTAGGACAACTTTTTCGTGATTTGTCTATTTACCACCTGGACAAATACAAACATGGGAAGACTTAGAGATGACGTTCCAAGCTAGATTCTTTAACCATTTGCCAACCATCTCCCTTACCGATTTGTTGGAAATGAAAAAATTTCCAAAAGAATTATCCTCGCAGTTTATCGAAAAGGTACGTTTGATGAAAGGGCGATGTCCCACAATAATTAATGAGAAGGAGATGACCAATTTAGTGGTCCACAATATGCATGTACGGTTAAGAGAGACACTTACTGCACATGAGGTAAAAGATCTGACAAGTCTCGCATCCAAGGCTGGACGTTTAGAATCTCTCTTCAGATAAAAGGATCAAAATTTCATGTATGGTGCAATATAAAAGTAATGACATTTGTATAATATATTGTAAATTGAAAGAGTATTTATTATGTTAATTAGGTAGTACAATTACTAAATTAGAAAATGGTAACCTTGTTTTGGGATGGACGAAAATGGAAAATTGTAACATTTCAATGGGACAGAGGGAGTATATTTTATTAGTTATCTGATCCAAGGGTGTGTTTGTTTGGGGGATTGGATTGGATTTACACTATTCATCCAATTTTTTTCCCCCAAAAACATCAAATCAAACACCTATTTTTTATTTTTTATATTATACTAAAAATCAATTTTACATTCAAAATATCACATCAGCACCTATTTATATCACATCATACAACTATTCAAATTCAAAATTTTTACTATTCAAATTCCAACTCAAAATCCAAACTCCCAAACAAACACACCCCAAATGTGTTTTTGAAATTTTGTAGTAGATCAAATAATAATAATGTTTTATTAGTTAACAGTGGAAACGTATAAGATATTTTTGAATTTACTTTTACTCAAATAGGAAATAAATACTTAGGAATACAACGAATGAAAAATGATACTTTTAATTGAGATAGTCTAATTAGATACAAGCACATTTTCGTGAGATGAAGAGGTCTAAGGTGTGTTTGTTTGAGGAATATTTTTCAAAATATACTATTCATTTTATTTTTTTTTTTAAAATATAAAATTAAATACCTAATTTTTATTTTTTATACTATATCAAATATTAATTTTATATTCAAAATATTACGTGAAACCAGTTTATATCTCCAGAATACACAGCTAACAAAAAAGGATTGTGTAAAGAAACCACGCTGACAATGGCTTCTCTTCGGCGCCATTCACCGATTGAATCTGGCAGGGGCGGCGATGGGATAGTATCTCAAGTCTCAGATTATCCGATCGTCAGAAAGGGCAAGGGCAAAGCCTGTGACGCTGCGTACGTGGCCAAGCGTCTCCTGAAGAGCACCGGCAAGGCGGCCTGGATCGCCGCGACCACTTTCATCGTGCTAGGGCTTCCTCTAATAATTGAAATGGATAGGGAGGCGCAGTTCAATGAAGCCGAGATGCAACAAGCTTCGCTTCTCGGCGGTGTTTCCCCCGCCCAACCAGCCTTCGTGAATCCGCCCAAGTGATTGATTTCATACTCTGCTGTATTTCGAAAATTAGGTTTTTAGATTTAGCCTCCGGGAGAGATGAATATTGCGTCTGGTTTCAATTTTCCACGAGGTTTAATGGTAATGGTGCTGCTTGTTGCTGTTGAATTTCGTTTAATTTGATTAAATTTCCGTGGCCCCTTTCATATTGATTAATTTTGTGCTTTATACTTTGAAGCTTGTATATGTATATACAGTTCTTGATAATTAAATGGTTTTGACAGAGGATTAAGGATATTTAGCTACGAATTGAATCCTCCCCTGTTTATCGATAGTCCTATTGTATTGTTTCTGCTGGTTCTTGTGTAAGAATTCTAGAGATAATTTGTTTTTGTATCGTACGATTTCAGCTTAGTTTTGACAATGGTGTAAGATTGGTAGTTTTCTTGTTCTAGAGTTTCGGGTACAGAATTTTGTGAAAATGGATTTAACTTTAGAATTGAAGTTAAATGGAGGATAATGATCGAATTGGCTTCATGTATTTGTTTGTATGCAAGTAGTAATTTGCTAGGAATGTAATTACAAGTGATTTGTTCCATGATCATTTCGTGGTAGCTTCAAATTTCCATCTTTGTTTTAGTTGGAAATGTTATCCATCAAACACTATATAGATTATTATCTAAGAATGCATGAGGCCGGCGCTCTAAGAAATATCGAGCTTACACACTCTTCTTTGTTCACTGTAAAAGAAGGCAGTTTTATTGAAATAGGGATGATGTGATTCGGATCTTTGATATTAATTCAATTTTTTCTTCGGTATGGTTCCTCTTACTTGATCTTTGGGTTAGCTTTTCTCCGAACATGGGTATCTTTTATATACTTACATTTGTTCCATGGCTCGATTTTTTGTATCATTTTGCATATAGGGAACACGCTCGACTTGCTTGTTTACAGTTTGTTGCGTAGGACTTGGGCATGGAACTTCTGCAGGTATGTTCATGAAATTGTAAATAGGAATATTTATTTTGAATTTGAATTGCAACGATGAATTGTACTGTTTGCTATTGTTTTACATTCTCATTGCTAAGAAGAAACAGGGGTTACAATTTAAAATCAATTGGCATTAAGTCGAGTCGCTCTACGCCTTATAAACTAAAGGAATCTTAACATTTTTCCGAATGTGTGATATTTTCAATACCCCTCACTCGAGATGATATGATCTCGAAATTTAATAAGAAATGTTGGATTTCGAGATGTGAGTACTTGTACGATGGTGGACAGAGAAATCATAGAGTCAAATAACGAGGAAAGCCAAAGCTCCACGGGTCGTGGACGACAGGGGGGCCTTGATGATTCCAACACCGGAATACTTTCTTTGCGTTGCCGCGCGATAAATCTGACGATGTATGTCTTAATTCCATTGGTAAGGCTGTGCAACTCTATACAATCCATTGTCAACATAGACTCGGCTGATAACGGTTGCTAACACTGCCTTGGTATTTAAATCCTTGAATTACTCGAACCTTGACATTCTAACTTCGACACGGTAATGCATACTTCTTTTCAGCCTTAGCTTACCGCTCTCTAGTTTCTGGTCCGCTACTTGCTGGCCTTTGGCGAGAAGAAGAAAACATCTTCGAACGACCTTATTTTGGACCGAGTCTGTAGCGCATGTCTTCCGGCCTTGGATACGTCATGCGGACGAGCTCCTGCCGACGATACTTTATAGTTGTAAACAAATTGAATCGAAATGAATACTGTAGTATTCGGTTTAATTCATTCAACTGTTCAATTCGATATTCGATTTATTTTGAATTTTAAAATAATATTTGTATCCGTTTCTCAAATAATCTTTAAATCATTCGATTCGATTTAAATGTTTGGATTCATTTTTGTCTTTTTCTATTCGGGTTTTTTTAATTAAAAATTTTAACAATAGTATTAAGATAGTTTGATAAAAGGAAATGCAAATATTTACTATTGATTACTTTTTAAAATTGACACAAAAGACTCATATTTTAGCATAAATAAAAAAAATTATTATTTATATTTGTAATTTTAATTATCTTATATATTTGGGTATATTTGTAATTTTAATTATCTTATATTTTTGGGTAAGCTGAAATAGAGTATGTTACAAATTAATCTATAATTGCACACTTTTAGTTCTCCGGCGTCACGGAGATACTTACGTTACACCCGCGTGGCTCGCTGGTAGACATGTGTCCGGCCAGATGTCGCTGACCAGACAAATATGTGATTTTTTTTTAAAAAAAATTAAAAATTTAATTGATTTATTTTGTCTTCTCTTTAAAATCTAAATTTTTCAAAAAAAAAAAAAAATAAAAAATAAAAATTCACATGTCCATCAGAGACGTGTTTGGCAAATAATTGTTAGCTTATTCAATTAGCTTGTTAGTTGATTCAATTAGTTGGTTTGACTAACTGATTTGATTGGCTGTTTGTATTAAAATATTTGATAAAACAACCTTATGATATTAGTTGTTTATATGTAAAATGACAATTAAGGATATTTTTATTTTATTTTATTTTCTAATATATTCAATTGTGTTCTTTTGAGTTTAGAATGTTTGAAATTTTTTGTTATTAGTTATTGAAAATCGTAAAACTATTATAAAATAGTATATATTTTTATTATCGTTAGATTTAAAAAAGAATATATTTTTATTGAAAAATAATATATATTTTTTAAAAAATATAAATGGTTTTTTCTATTTAAAATGATGTAAAATATAAAATAATAATTTTTTTGTATATATCTATTATGTTAATTATTGATTAGTTCATTATATTTATAATGTTCAATAAGTTTAATTTATTTTTAGTATAAAATTTATATAATGTAATTTTAATATAAAATTAAATTATTTATATTTATATTTTTTATTTTGTGTTGATTTTAATAAATTTATATATTTTATAATTAAAATTATTTATATATAAAAACTAATTATTTTAAATTTATAAAAGTAAAACTATGATACTCCCTCCGCTCTATAACAAAATATCCGTTTTTGCATTTTAGTCCGTCCCATAATAAAGTATCTGTTTCCTTTTTTAGTAACTGTATTATCTACCTAACATTACAAATACCCTTACAACTTACAATATATTACACAAATGTTATTACCTTTATATCACATATACTAATAAAGTTATTTTAGTCATTTATACTTTATTCCTACTACATTACAATATAATACTAATATTTCTAAAACTATGTGGAAAAAACAAATGAATATTTAGTTATGAGACGGAGGAAATATAATAAATAATCAAAATATATTTATTTGTGTAAAAAGCTAATTTACCAAACACATCTAAATTAACTGTTTCACTGGTCAGACAGTAAAAGCTGTTCAATACGGTAAAAATTCTTAAAAAAAAGTTCTTTGCCAAACACCCTCCAGGTGTCGCTAACCTGGCGGTCATGTGTCCTCCGGTGAGCCACATGGGTGTCAAGAAGGCATTTCCGCCAGAGGACTAAAAGTTGCAAAAATTTTCCACTTACGGAACTAGTTTGCGACAAGTTACAAAATTAAAATGATAAATAGGTTCAGTTATGAAAAAAAAATTATTTTGCCTTATATATTTATTTATATAAAATTTTAGAAGTATTATACTAATATTTCATAAATTTAGTTTTATTTATTTTGAGAAATACATATACTATATTTACTGTATATTTTTTATTATCGAATCGAATATTTTTATTCGAATTCGAATTATAAAATTTTGAATATGAATATTAAAAATTTAAATTGAACAAAATTATTTAATTTATTTACAGCATAATGTTAATATTTTGTAGAATATATTGCAACTTTTGAGAATTTTGTTGTAATATTTTGTAGAATATATTGCAACTTTTGAGAATTTTTGTATATATTTCCCATATTGTATTTTTTTTTTTGTAGAATATTTTAAATTATGATTAAAATATTTAGATTTTTTGTGGAATATATATATATTTTTATATATATATAACATTTTTGGTAGAATATTTTTATCTAGGAACTAAATGAGATTAGGAAAAGTCCCATTTTCTTTTCATATTACATGTACATAATACTATAAAAAGAGTAGGGTAGTTTTCAAATTCACTAAGGATGTGTTTGTTTGAGGGTTTGGATTTTTGAAGATTTTGAAATAAGAATTTTTAAGTTGTGTTTGTTTGAGGGTTTGAATTTTGTAATGATTATATTGAAAAATATTATTTTTAAATTAATTATGTTGAAAGTTTAATATCATATTTTGAATGATAAATATTTTGTATTAATAAAAATTTTAAATTCAAATCTATTTATTTATTTAGTAATTAAAATTTTGAAACTTTCTAAATTTCTATACAAGGTTTTAATATTATAATTTGATTTTCCACAAAAAAAAAAAAGTTTTTTTTTATTATTTTAATAAAAAATTTAAACTAGAAAAAAGTTCATCTATAATTTTTTGAATTATCAATATTTTATATTATATAATAATATTAAATATAAATATCTAAAAATTATTTTTTCAATTAATAATATATTATTACAATTATTTTACCTAAATTTTAAAATAAAAAAAAGAGAGAAAAAAAAAATCATATTTATTGTTGTTGTTTCTCCTCTTTCATTTCTCTTTTCTCTTTCCTTCTTTTTTTTCTTTCATCTCCTCCTACTCCTTTTTCATTTCTGTTTTTAAATTTCTTCTCCGCAAGATTACCACACCCGTATTCCGGTCTCTGAGACACGGTTGAGGAGTCTCGTTTCCGAAAAAGGTAGGAGGTCTGATTTTCATCAGTAAATTTCGGTGCATAATTGAAAGAGGAAGAACGCCCGACGGAACAAATCCTTGATAGATGTTTGCTGTGGAATTTTTTAACACCTCCATCCAATGAAACCAACTGATAACTCCCCAGGGAAAAAATGCTTATGGGTAATGGCCTTGGCCATACATTCGTCCACCTGATTGAAATATGTGAATGCGTCGACAATTTCCAACGGGAAGAGCAGGACTATAGGATATAGATTATAGGGTAGGAATTTTCAATTAATTTGGTAAAAAAGTGATTTTACAGTAGAATTCTTATAAAATACAGCCTAAGCTAACCAAGAAATGAGATGGTTAGGTTATCCAAAAAATTGCAAAAGCTGGGGTTTGTTTGGTTATGATTTAAAATTGATTTATATTGATTTGAATTTTTATTTAAATAGTATTTTGATTTGATGTTTTGTAAAAAATATATATATTTATATTAAAAATTCTATAGAGTAAATTCATTACAAAATTTTTATAGAAAAATATTATATCCAATAATATTAATAAAAAAGTATAGAAATTAGGGTAATAAGAGGATTAAGCCAACCCCAAATTTAAGAAAAAAGTTTATATCTACGACTGTTTGTATGAGTCCAGGAGACATGGCTCGAAACCGGAAGATCCGGTTTTGAAGTCTGCAAAGAAAGCGGAAGTGCAGTCATGAAACATGCCCTAGATCTCTGGTCACAAGACTCACAACCGAAGGTATTAGGAAGCCGCTGCATTGATTTAGAGAGAAGCAGTGGGTTGGGGTGATGGTAATCAATAACGAAAAGTGGCCTATTGAACAGACTTATCACTCGACCACCGACTTTTCCCCTGATGTGATGTGTTTAAACAGTGACTGCCCATGTATAGTAAGAAACCGAGGTCGTCAATGGGTGTATACTGGTTAGAGGAAAGCCACTCATGTATGAATGCCATGCATGCAAGAACAATGAACAATGTAAATCCGCCTTCAGCTCTTCCGGTCCAGAAATGCGCGGGGGGCGTAAGATCCTTAAACCCAATCCGGAAAGGCCCTCAAGGAAGACATGAACAACGCCTATTGCGCTGGAGACCATCCCTCCCATGCGCGAGCTAGGACTACTCATGATTGAGAAGATTGCTTCTGTATAGCCAATTTTTTCATTTTTTCCCTCCTTTTTCTGGACTCATGTCTTGGAAAGAGAGTCTCGGTGTTCGGATTGAACCATTTGTTTTTGGATTTGTGTTACTTTCTTCTGAGTTCTGGGCATCTGGCAATTTGTAGATCTGAGGTTTGAAAAATACCTGGACAGGAGACTTGTGTATATATATATATATATATATATATTGGTCTTGTAACCGTCAGGAACCCTAATTATCTACTCTCAGTCTCAGTCATTATTATTATAATTGGATTGGATCAGATCTGTAAAATAATGGATAATCATTAGGAAATATATGTAAATTGATATATCATATCCTATATCTATATCTATATATATAAATTAATCGATTCATTATCTAAATTGATCTTATTTTAAATTGTATACTAAATAAAACATAGTTATGTGCATATATTATTTTTATTAAACTTTTCTAATTTATTTGAAATTTTATAAATTATATTTAAAAATTTTACTTTATCTACCTTAATCGAAAATATATTTATTAAATTAAATTTAATTTAATTGAAAATAAAAAAATATAATTAACTTTAGATTGATTTAAATCCCTACGTTTGTTTTCACAAACAAAACAAAAAGATATACATACATACCAGGGCATACAAATTCAAAAGCAATCAACAACACAAAACAGAAAAATCCAAAAAAAAGGCAAAAGTAGGTTATAAATTATAATTATACAGAGGAAGGAGAAGAGTTACCAAAACATCACAGGAAGGAAGGCCAAACGCATTCGTCGTCCTCCTCACTGGGCTGCTGCTGCTGCACTCTTATCATATCTCCATACACAAACGTCGCAAAGCAGAGAACCAGAGGTCATCGCCTTGCACTACACTGCCACTGCCACTGCCACCGCCACCGCCAGCTTATATATATATATATATATATATATTCGGGATATTTTGATATTCTGCCGAAATTGTGCACTACCAATTTGCCGCCGCTTCGATTCATCAGTACCACGAGTTGTTAAGCTGTTTGGATTGTCGATGGCGCTTGAATTCCGATTAATGTGAGAGAGTGGGGAGTCGTCGGTGTTCGGATTGAACCTTTTTTTTTTGGAGTTGTGTTACTTTCCCAGATCTCGGTATCTGGGAATTTCTAGATCTGAGGCTTTCGTCGCTTAATTAGGGGGTCCTTTCTATGGCTGCCACATTTCCTCTGCCGGTCACCGCCGCACAGGTCTGTTGTATACTCTGTCTAGATGCATGGTGATTGTGTGATGATTTAGAAATTGTTGTTGTGCTGAATGCTATCTTTCGTTTTGAATGTTTGTCGTTCATTAAAATACTGTGGAATTAAGAGGGGTTTGGTGCTAAAATCCATGGCTGTTTTGTTAAATTTACTTGTGCTTGTTGCTGTCGATAGTCAGGATAATTTTGGGTGTATGATGGGTTTAGGATTTTGTGGATTAAGAATCAATGTATTTATTTAATTAGGGCTGACTTTCAATCTTTAGTCCCTTTGTTGTTTCGAGCATTTTTCTTTTCTTTTCAATCGAATGGTTTACCCAATACTTTGGTAGTGCAGATTTTCCTGGCCGATAGATTTAAGTTATAGAATGTATGTGTTTTTGTATAATGTTTTGATCTTCAAAGAGGAGAGTATTGGTTAACTATGTAATTTTGAATGTTTTAGTATATGAGTGAAATATATTATGTAGATGAAAAACTGTTGTATATGTTTATATCTTTAGTCACAATTACAGTGTAGTCATTGTGGGCATTGTCTTCGTTTTATTGAGGAAACAATTGGGGCAATGCTATTTATGCTACCAATGTTCTGATGCCAGTATGTGTGGATGATATTTCATTGCACTGTAGAAGTTTGTTATTTCACAATTTGACAAGTTATCCGATTTCTGATATTGATAGTATCATGACATACACTATGATAAGAAGCCTGATTTTTCAGTTGCAATTGATAGTTTATTTTGCTAGTGTTAACAAGATTAAATGAACAAGTGTTATAATGTTGAATACTATTTAGTATTTACAGATTTCTTTTGTTTCTCCTATTAGGTAGGAACGTACTTTGTTGGGCAATACTATCAGATGCTACAGAATCAGCCAAAACTTGTGCACCAGTTTTATGGTAAATCCAGCACCATGCTTCGGATCGATGGAAGCACCAGAGAGACTGCTACTAATATGCTGGTATTCTTTATACTCTTGATGCTGTGAATTACTATCAACAAATTTAAATTTTGAGCAAGTTAGTTGTGAAACTGAAGTAAAGATATTTAGATGTTGGTATTACAATAATAAATACAAAACGTGCATAGAGCCTTACTTGAAATAGAATGATCCTGCAGGTATTCTAATACTTTGACGTCCTCTGTTATGTGCCTGAGTTATGGTTATTGATGTTTGTTAGCACTTCTTTTATAGGTTTTCCCATTATATTAACCTTCCTGTTCCTTTGTAATTGAAGCTAACTTAGAACTTCAATTAGAGTATAATCTTGGAACTACGAAAGAGGTTTTTAGGTTTAAATTGATAATTTGATATTAGGATGCTTTACTTCACATTGGTTTGGAAAAGTAGTAGCTGGTGTATGGTGGTTTTAAGTTACTATTAGAACATGTGTGCAATTATTTGGAAGGCTAAAAAGGTCAAATGAGTAATAGATGAGTGTTTTGGCTTTGTTTTTTCTGCATGCAGAGATCTGTTTAATCAAAGGATGTTATCGTGGTAGTGAAGTCTTTTCTAAAATTAACTATGTAACACATGTCATGATTGCTACAGTTTTAATTTTATGGCAATTATTAGATTCTAAAACTAGCATATACATTTACATGTGTATGCATTATATACATATCTTGCACGTTGCGGGCTTTTATGCTATTCAAGAGAAATATGATGAACTACGGGCATTAGTGAATTATTTTGGACTTCATAGTATAATTGGTTTGTTCTGCACTCTAAGTAGCATTTTACCTTTTTTTACTTTTTAATCTCTAACAGTTGAATGTTTTGAACCATAGAAGAGGTGACCTGCTTCATTAACCAATCCTAAATTTAATCCTAATACAACCCACTCACCCATATGTATATATGTCCTGGCCTATATTTATGATGATTATTTAGTGATTGAAACTTTGTGATAATGATTAAGTGGTTGAACTCTAATCTATGTTGGGATTCAGTTCTATCTTTCCTTTTCATCAGTGATCTTAATGCATCAAACATTGCATAAATTGCAAAAAAACGTTGTCACTTCTCATTGTTCCAATATCTGCTTGGATTGGTAAATTGTGACTCTACTACATTGACCTATTGAATTTAAGCAAGACATTTGGTGCAATTTTGCCTTTTCTTATATTACAAAGCTTTTGCACCATAGAGTCGATCCTGTCAGTTAGAGATACTTGTTGAGATATATCAGAAAAGGATTTGTTACATGATTACTAACATACCTGGTTCACACCTGTATTTGTCTAATTGTTCCGTTAGTCTTCCGTAACGTCCATTAAGTTGCATAATATAGTGAAAGGTTAGAACTTAATCAATAAAGATTATGTTGTTTTATTTTCGTAACTTTTATAATGTTGCCTTCAAGTTGTATGTGTTGTTTCATGGTACTTTTTCCAACAGCCAAAATGGCAGGTCTATCTTGATATAATGTATATCATCATAATTCTATGGTTACTGGGTTGCATGATTGGTGTTTATTTTAGTTCTTAAGAATCAACTGATTTTCTGGAAGCTTTATTTTTTGTTTCTTAATGCGCTCCTTGCTTGTTCTCTGGTTTTTCCCCTGCCACAGCAAATCAACCAACTTGTCCTCTCACTCAATTACACGGGAATAGAGATAAAGAGTGCACATTCTTTAGAATCTTGGGACTGCGGAGTTCTAGTTATGGTTTCTGGCTCTGTGTACGTGAATAATTTCAATGGGAAGAAAAAGTTTGTGGAGACTTTTTTCCTTGCGCCCCAGACAGGAGGTTACTTTGTCCTTAATGATATCTTTCACTATGTTGACGAAGTGAAAAATCTGCAGCATCCAATTGGCTATTTACCTCAGAGCAACCTCGATAACAAGCTCCACTCTGCGGCTACAGTTAGAGAAAAAGGTTGATTTCTTCCTTGCCACTTCTTTTCGTGTCATTTATTTATTTATTTATTTTATAATCTTTCTGCTTGTTGAAGTTTTTATTTAGCATGTGTCAAAGAATTCTAAATAAAATTTGCCTGAGTTTTATGGAGATGATATATAAGAAGAGGGCAGGAAAGGTCATCACAAAGCCACAATTTTTTATTGTAGAAGTCATCGCAAAGCCACAAATTATTTTTGTAGTAGTCATTGCAAAGCCACAATATTTTATTGTAGAAGTTATCACAAAGCTACAATTGAGCCAAAAGGACGCACATTCTGGTTATTAATTTGGAAATAATGGATTAAATCAATTTTTAAAGGCCAAGTTTGGCGAATTAATAGCGGTGGCACTATGTCTGTTGTCGATATCGTTCTATTTCATTTGTTCTTATATATATGGAATGTATTAGCATCACACATGTATTTGTGCATTCAAAATATACTCACATTGGGGTCTGGTAGTCGTGGAAGACAGATCAAGGAATAACGGATAATTATTATGTGTATTTCTATTTTTCAGGGCGCAATTACATTTTGGGTGGGGATATCCAATCTAAGCAATTCTTGGCTTCCGAAAAGATTGAAGAAGATGCTCCAGTCAATAACTACAGCTATCACGAAGATCAACTCCAAGTTCCCACTACCGAAAAGAACTTGGATGAAGATTTTGATTTGCAAGCAAATGGTGTCCTTCATGGAAATGTGCACTCCGAACATGACCAGTTCTCTTCCCCTAATGAAGAATCTGTAGCCGAGCCTCAGAAACATACTTATGCTTCTATAGTAAGTAATGACTCCAATTGCCACAGTTCATGCTCACTCTATGAAACTGACACGAGGTTATTAATTTAAAAAGTTACAGGTTGCTAAAGCACGGTCTGCTCAAGCAATCTCTCAATCACCAATCAACAAGCCCACTACCCCGGAGATGCAGCCAACAACCGAAACCCCTGCCCAGCCATCAATTGCATCATCGAACCAAAATGAAAGGTCTGGAGTTGAGCCAGCAGAAGAGATATCTGCAGTGGAAGACGAAGGTAACTTTTCCATATCGCGTTCAAAGTGTAGGCATTGTGTGATTTATTTCGTCACCAGGCTTCAATTTGAGACAGTCCCTTTTGATTTGTCTTCTGCAGTTGAGTTCAAGTCTGTTTATGTACGAAACGTTCCATCTACAATGGCTGCCTCTGAGATTGGGGAAGAATTCAAGAAATTCGGTAAACTCAGACCTGATGGTGTGGCCATCAGAACCCGGAAGGTTTGGTTTCTGCCTTGTCTATCCTCCTTGTGCTATTTTGTTTAGTTGAATTACTGAGACTTTACAATGTTAATTTCTGCAGGACATTGATGTATGCTATGCGTTTGTCGAATTCGAAGATAGCGTGGGGGTGCATAATGCAATTAAGGTTTGACCATCTATAGTTTGAATTCCTCTTTTTGTTCGTAGCATACACCTGTAGAAACAAAAACTCCTCCGATTTGGGTTTTAACGGCCAATACTTAATTAATTTTGCTGTTAGTAGGAAGATAGCATTGATGCCTAAATAATGATGTCTATTTCACTTCAATATATTTGGTTGGGGCCAAACAATTGAGTTCTGGGTCGAAGAAATTCAAATTTACTGTTGGATGGAAGGGCACCTGCCCAGCTGAATAAAATTTACACAAATTGAGAAATAATAAATGAATAATCGATCAAAAAAGTAGGTAAATTTTATTTTGTACAAACAGATCAGGATGGGGCGGGCCTGAGTGGGGTCTTAGGTCTACTGAGTTTGTTGGGTTGGTTTGGGGTCTTATCATTGTGCATTGGCTGTTACAATTTTTTGCTGCTTTGTTCTACTTACTTTCGGATGAACCTTATTCGATTAGATAATGATTGTTTTAATAAGTATGATTCATTCCTTGCACATGAAGAAAGTATGAATGGTGATTATTTCATCAAATTTATTGTTTCGAAACTACTGGATTAGGTCAGAGTCTCTTATCCAGAAGCTTGACACAGCTTAACTGTTTATATTATATTTTCTTCTCTACAGGCATCAATGGTTGAGATTTCTGGACATCCCCTCTACATCGAAGGACGGAGACCAAACAGAAACAACTCAGTTCGAGCAAGTATGCATTTTTTACTCTGTTTCTGTGTATTTGATATGCGGCCTTTCTTCTATGCTCACAAATACTTGCATTGATCTCTTAAAATCGGTAATGGTTAAATAAAAGTATATGCTGTCTTTTCTTACTTGTAGGTATATTAATATAAATGGTGTGCTGTCTATAGTTATATTATGGGCTATAAAAAAGAAAAAGAAAATCCTCATGCCTTTAAAATCTTAGATCTGAATTCTTATATTGTCGACAGGAGCAAGGGGTAGAGGCAGAGTTAGCTACCAGATGGAAGGAAGAGGACGACCTGGGGGGCGGGTGTTCAGCAGGGTCAGTAATCACGATGCATACGATCGTGATTACAACAGACCTAAGGCGAATGAGTTCTACCGGAAACCTCTGCGACAAGAGAGGGCTTACGTAGCCAACCATGGGTCGAGAAATGGTCCAAACTCGCTAGAATGAATCGAGCCGGGTACGTCTTCGAATCTGAAGAAGGTTTATAGAATGCCGCTAGTGGTCAGAGTAATTTTGCAATATCACCATATGTCTTCTTAGTTCAGTCTTGTTTTATCCATTGAAAAGTTGGGAAAAATCCAAGTAAATTAGATCTGCTGGGGGGGAGGTGTCACAGCAATATCTTTTATTTGATGGCTATTCAATTGTTATTATTTTCTTGATTAGTTTATTTTTCTCTAATGAAAGGTACTTTAATTATTGCAGACTGCCTTGCTTTACATTAGGACATTGTGCATTTGCTCACATTATACCTTTTTTGTTGCTTAAAAAATTTGCACTATTTTTCCCTGTCATTTAGAAACTATATTTCTTTGCATATACAAATTGCTATTCGAGGTTTTAAAAAATTTCGAACAAAATTATACTCTCGTCGAATATTTTGATATAATAATTAATATTCAAAGGTAAATCCGACAAAAACTAAATTGAACCTTTTAAGCCTGAATGAGGTAAGGTAGTATTATATCAGAAATTTTATATGCTATTATATTAATTACTCAAGAATGAATTATACAATAAATTTTACTTTGAGGATTTAAGTTCTTTTTGTAAAAACAATCCATATATTTCCTATAAAAAATTATAAAAAAATTAATATACTATAAGTATTTATTATTTTTATATTATTTACATAATTTTTTATATTTGCATAAAAAGTATTCTTTCAAATTATTTTATAAAACAAACACATCCGATGTGTGGTTTTTTTCTTTTTTTTATTATTATGGTTATGGCCATATATAGTAAAAGTATTTTTATTTGTTGGAATATTTCCTTGGTCTCAACTTAATGTACACTTTTTATTATTTTTGTTTATCATATTTAAAAATATCATTTTTTTATTATAGTAATAATAATAAATATATAAATAGTAATTTATTTTATTTTATTTTTACAAAAATATTTATTTTCTTTGTACTGGGTAGAGCAAAAATATGAATGAATATTGCTATAGTAGGTCACATCTAATATTTCTCATTTTCCTGTGCCATGAGAATATGCAGCGAATGTGACATTTTTGTGATATATAAGAATATATAATCATTGGTTTCCAATAATAAGATGGTCTTGTTACGACACATATATTTTATGTGTCATTTAATGCCACGTGTTAAAATTTTTATGAGGACACAAAATCATATATGTTGAGTAATATGGTATATTCTATTAATAAAATGATGATGTCATTATTCTTATCTCTCTATTTTGTATAAGCATGAACACACACACGGATATACATATATTGCATATTTTATTGTATATTCCATATCTTTATTTATATATTCTAATATACTCTTTCTGTCCCGCAATTATTGGATACGATTTTTTAAGTAGGATAGATAATTAAGTTATTAATAATAAGTTATGATATTATTTTTTATATGAATAATATTATTGATATTTTAAAAAATTTTAAGATTATATCTCGAAAAAATATATGCAATATAAATATCATTTTTTAGATAATAAAATTTTATATAATACAAATAAATAAAAAAAATATTACCATAAATTAGTTTTATAAAAAAACGAGGAGTTTTAAATATAAATAAAAAAAAATTATGTTAACTGAGGAGAGAGATAGAAATAAAAGAGTTTTGAGTGAATCTTAAATGTAAAATGTTAAAAGTTTAATTAAATTGATTTATATTTGTTAAATTTATTTAAAATTGATGAAATTATTAAAAATAGAAAAAAATCATATGGGACGTAAAAAAGAAAAATGAATAATATATTCTAATTTTTTCTAAAAGAATATCACATTTTATATCATATAAACAAACCGCGGATGTGTTCCTTTTGTTAAAAATATACACACATTCTCTAAAAAATATTAATAAAACAAACACACCCTGCCCGTGTAACAAACTTTTTATACTATTGGTCCACTAGTAAGCGTCCATTTATATTTATATATAAAAAAATATTATATCTTCTTGTTTAATAATTTTATTATTTTGAAATTCGATTTTAATTTTTTTTATTATTATTATTTTTCTCATAAAATATTATCTATAGGTTCAATCCCCCCTCTATATATCTTCTAAACTCTTTTGTAATATTTTCCCTTAAAAAAAAAAAGAAGAAATTAATGAAGGGTGTGTTTGTTTGAAGGATTTTGGTGGATTTCCACTATTCATCCAATTTTTTCCCTCCAAAAATATCAAATCAAACACCTATTTTTCATTTTTTATATTATACTAAAAATCAATTTTACATTCAAAACATCACATCAAACCCTATTTATATCACATCATACAACTATTCAAATTCAAAATTTTTACTATTCAAATCCCAACTCAAAATCCAAACCCCCAAACAAACACACCCGAAATTTCCAAAACTTCAATTAAAACTAGAGCAGCTACAAGCATTCGACAAAACAAAAGCCGGTGTGAAGGGGCTAGTCGACGCCGGCGTCGAAAAGATCCCCTCAATATTCATCAATGCGTCGAAAAGATCCCCTCAATATTCATCAATCACCAATACATGCAAGAAAAAGGTCGTTCTTTGCCTTTTTCAAGCGTGCCGGTGATTCGTATTCCGGTTATTAACTTAGAAGCTGAGCATGACCAACTTGTGGACCGTGTTAAAGAGGCTTGTGAAAAGTGGGGTTTCTTCCAAATAGTGAATCATGGGATCCAACTCCCCGTCATAGAGAAGGTGATCAAATGAGTAAAAAAATTTCACTGAGATGGATACAAAGGTAAAAAAACAATATTACTCGCGGGATGTTAATAAAAAAATAGTATATAATAGCAACATAGATTTGTACCAAGCTCCAAGCGCGAGTTGGCGGGATAACATCTTCTTTCTCATGGCTCCGAGCCCTCCCGATCCTCGAGAGTTGCCTCAAGTATGCAGGTATGTTTGTAATGTAAATAAAATTATCTTTTGTTAGAAATTTTGAGAGAAAATAATGAGATGGTCATTTTGATTATCAAAATAAGAAGCCTAGGCAATACAAAATAAACTCAAATCTAAATAATTTAAATATATGGATACGATCAAATTTAGATATAAATATACTAAATCTAAAATTAAATATCTAAAATGTCTCAACATCTTTGATCAATTTTTTCAAAATAAAAATAAAGAATAAAAAATTTCATTGACATATTGGCGATGTGAAGGATTTCTCTTCCATTGCAAATGCCCTAAACTACTGTACCCCCGTTCCCGATAAATTATTTACACTAAATACAGAAGTTTAATTAAAGTATATAAAGTAAGTAATTATAAATTAAGAATTGTATTAGTAAAAATAATTATTGTATAATAAAAATAATTATATATTAAAATTAAGATAATTAAATATTTTAATTAAAATTAAAAAATTATAAAATTTAAAATATGGTTAAAATATATAATGATATTTAAAAAAAATAAAGAAAAAAATATAATTATGTGGGACAGATCGAAATTAAAAAAATAAAAATAAAAAATGGACAATTTATGTAGATGGAGATAATAAATAGAGGTAATATATATATATATATATATATATATGTGATACCTATACTTTAATTTAAGTAAATGAAATACTATGGGTGTATTTGGTTTCGGAATTTATTGTATAATTTAATTAAGATGATATATATAATTCCAATATGTGTATAAATTCTAAAAAAATAAATAAATTGTGTCTATCTTTGCTTAGACAATATTGAATTATACAATAAAAATATGTACAACATATTTTCTTTAGTACCTAAAAGCAAAGGTTCCATGTTTAAAATTTGCGAAATATTTAAAATAATAATAACAATTATAATAAACAACGTTAAAAATAAGTGTGTTTGAGTGTTAGTTGGAATTGTAGTTGGATGATATTTATTTAATTAATACTTGTTTATATATCTAATATATATGATTTAAATAAATTCAAAATATACATGTATTTAATATTTTAAATTATATTTTAATAAAACATATATATCAATTTCATAGATTATAAGTTTTTTATATTATTCAAAGACTAACTATATATATTTATATAAGATTAACATAAATTAATTTAATAAAAAGTAGAAAGTATAGATGGTATATTATATATATTGATGACATATTAATGATTTTGAATGAGTCATATCTCTGAAAATTTTGGAAGAAAAAAATAGAAACTTGAAATAAGATCGGTAACCAAACACTCCAATTTTAGTGAAATTTTAGCTAAATTCAAATACAATGTATAATGAAAATACCATATTGTGTGTATAGGGAAATCATGATCGAATACACAAAAGAACTAAAGAAGTTGGGAATGAAGTTACTTGAGTTGATCTCGAAAGCTCTCGGACTAAGACCGGATCACTTGAAAGAAATGGATTGCGCTGAGGGACTATTCGTCGTGGGCAATTATTACCCTCCTTGTCCACAACCGGATATGACATTAGGTTTCAATAGCCACACCGATAGCGGTTTCCTCACAATTCTTCTCCAAGATCAAATTGGTGGTCTCCAAATTCTCCACAAAAACCAATGGGTCGACGTGCCTTCTTTGCGGGGAGCTCTTATGGTGAACCTCGGAGACCTCATGGAGGCAAGTGTGTGTTTATTTTCAAAATTTGACTTAAAATTATATTACTTTTGTACAGTTCTAAAGGTCTCATTTATTTTTTACATGTTAATTTTTAAATATAAATTATTATATTAAAACGCAGTATAAATTTAAAAAAAAATTGCAAAAATACTTTCATTAGTGTCTTATAATACTAATAGAATGACATTTGTACAAAAAATTATACAAATATAAGAACATTTTTAATGTTAAATACAATGACGCAAAAGGTAAATGTGACTCTTAGAGGCGGACGGAGGAAATATATGATTGACATATATATTCTTATCGATGAAATTTTCTTGCATCCATTGCAGCTCATCGCTAATGCTAAGTTCAAAAGCGTGTACCATAGAGTCTTGTCGAAGAAAGTAGGCCCAAAAATTTCCGTGGGATTTGTTTTTAGGATGCATCTAATGCGTCGAAAGTGTATGGGCCGATGAAGGAGCTTATATCAGATGAAAATCCACCGATCTATCGGGAAGTTTCTGTGGATGATATCATATCGTGCCGATACAAGAATGGCATTCATGGAGCCCCCCTACTATCATACTTCAAATTAAACACATAATGTCAATTTGATGTCTTAATAATAAGGAATGCATAGTGATGGTCTCAATATATGTAACTCCATACAAATACCCTAAATATGAATATAATGTAGTGGAATAGTAAACAAACTTTCAAGGTTTTTCATGCCCATATAAGGTTGTATGAAAGTTTTTTTTTTTTTTGATCGGAAGGTTGTATGAAAGTTATTTAAATGACAGGTTGATTATAGATAAAATTGTGCATAATTTATAAGAACAAATCAAACACTAAATTATAAGAACAAATGGAGGGTTTCGAGCCATGTATGTGTGTAGGATTAGAGTATATAAATTTCACAAAAAGATATCGGTAGAATTTGTACTTACGACTCCATCCTCTTACCACACCAACTCAACCATTGTTTACGGGACTTAATTTTTATCCTTTTGGTCCATTAGTATAAGTCCAATCCATTCATGTTTGGAAATTTATACACTTCTTCTTGGTATGACCGTCTTTTCTTTTATAGTTTATTTAATTTTTTTACTGTCAATTTTTATTACTACTTAATTATCATGATTTCTTATAAAATATATTTCATCTATTTAAAATTAATTAATCTATTTGTTTTGTCATTTTGATTGATTTGAAATCAATATATATTTGTCTTTTAGTAAATGTGGTCCCTATAAAAATAAACGAAACCCTATCATTTCAATTGTGTTGACTTAGTGAAATCATCTCAAATCGATTTGAACTGATTAGTACGTATAATCAAGACAGACAATACATATTTGACAACATATGATATAATTTAACATGACAAATGTCAATTACCCCCTCCGTCCCAAACAAAGTGCAATATTTACTTTTGGCACGGGTTTTTAGATGGGTAATATTAAGTAGGATAATTTAGAAATTAAGTGATGTGATGGAGAGAGAAATATATATTTTATTTTTTTATTTGGATGGTGTGAGAGGATAATGTGTGGGGTAAAGATTAAGTATAATTAATTATTTCATATTTTGGAAATGTTGCAGGGTGTTTGAAACATACCAAAAAAAAAAAAATGTTGCAGGGTGTTTGGGACGGAGGGAGTAGTTGATATAATTCAACATAATACCATACTTACTTATTTGATCTTTGATTTTAGATCAAGAATATAATTATATATATATATATATATAATATCATTTAATCATGATTCAATCTAAAAAAAAAACAAAAAAAAAAAAAAAAAAAAAAAAAAAAAAATCAAAACTCTATATTCACCAACTATATATATATATATAATTCAACTACCTATCAAAAATCAAAAGTTATTCTAACCACGAAATCATGAGATAGCATTATTCCATCCTTATCCTCATCATCCAAATAAGGAAAGTGTCAAATTTATGCAGTAGTTGCAATGTCAATTTTGTTGCCAACAACAAACATAAAACTCGATCATCAAACCATCCCTCCTCTCTCCCTCATCACATTTTCCTTCGAAACAAAAAAAAATAAAGATAAAAAAAAAAAAAAAAATTAATGGAGTGCCCAAAATTTCAATCAAAACTAGAACAGCTACAAGAATTCGATGAAACAAAGGCCGGTGTGAAAGGGCTAGTCGACGCCGGTGTCGAAAAGATCCCATCAATATTCATCAATCACCAATACATACAAGAAAAAGAAACTTCTTTTTCAAGCGCGCCGGGGCTTTGTATTCCGGTAATTGACTTAGAAGCCGAGCATGGCGAACTCGTCGACCGTGTTAAGGAGGCTTGTGAAAAGTGGGGTTTTTTCCAAATAGTGAATCATGGGATTGATTTACCCGTCATGGAGAAGGTGGTCGAAGGAGTCAAAAATTTTCACGAGATGGATACGGAGGTAAAAAAACAATATTACTCGCGGGATGCCAAGAAGAAGGTTATATATAATAGTAACTTTGATTTGTATCAAACCCCGAGTGCAAATTGGCGGGATACCGTCTTCTTTCTCATGGCCCCGACTCCTCCCGACCCTCAAGAATTGCCTCAAGTATGCCGGTATGGTTGCGATGTCTTGAATAAAAATTATTAAATTATATATATATATATGTGTAGAAAGATATAAACATACAAGTAAATACACTAAGATGTGATCAGGTTTGTTCCTTTAGTCTTTTAGTTCTATTTTTTTTGTTTGTTTATATATATATATATATATGATTGGATATGAAGATTTTAAAAAATAAAATAAAGAAAAAGAAAAGACAAAAAAAAAAAAAAAAAAAAACCTTGAATACAAGAAAATGGGACTAAACTATTATGAAAAAAGAAAGATAAACTATATATGTATAATAGATGCCTATAGTTTAACTTAAATAAATGATATTATTTAAGATGATGAGTATGATTTCGCATATATGTGAATAAAATTTTAACAAAATTTAGATTATTTCTACCTTTAAGCTTAGGCCAATAATGAATTATACAATCAACGTTTATACAAAATATTTATTCATAATCTAAAAGCATAGGATGTGTTTGATAAGGGTTTGATTTTGAATTTTTTTTTTTTTAATTAGTTGTTTGTATAAATATTTTTATTTTTATATAGAATCGGCAAATTTACGTAATCAAATTATTGAAAAAAATAAAAAAAATAGAAACTAATCTTAGTGAAGTTTTGGCAACACTAGGCCTTATTTCATTTTCTCTACAATGGAACATTGTGCTTATTTGGAGTTTAGTTTCAATTTTTTTACTATGGTAAAAATAAATTATTTATTCTTACAATATATAACACTTAAAATACTATTTAAACTAAAATAAAAAATCAAACCCCAAATAAACAAATATGTTACATTATGGAAAATAAAAAATTCATACATATATATTGTGTGTATAGGGAAATCATGATCGAATACACGAAACAAGTAAAGAAGTTGGGAAACAACATATTTGAGTTGATCTCGGAAGCTCTCGGGCTAAGCCCGAGTCACTTGAAAGAAATGGCTTGCACGGAGGGACTATTTGTCGTGGGCAACTATTACCCGGCTTGTCCACAACCGGATATGACGTTAGGCTTCAATAGTCACACTGATAGCGGCTTTCTCACAATCCTTCTCCAAGATCAGATCGGTGGTCTTCAAATTCTCCACAAAAACCAATGGGTCGATGTGCCTTCTTTGCCGGGAGCTCTTGTAGTGAACCTCGGAGACCTCATGGAGGCAAGTGTGTGTGTTTACGCATCCATACAATTATTTCCAAAATTTTAAGTATAATTATATGTGGGTTCAGTTACTCTACCCCTAAAATAGAAGAAGCACGATACATTAGGGGTAGGGTAACCGAACCCATTATATATAACTTATATATTCTCTTCTTCCCAATTAAATAGTTGCAAAGTCATTTTATAATAGATTAAAAAATAATCATATTATTTACGGTGTGCGATGGCATTTTAGTAAATACGGATATAAGTGAGGGTAAATTGGTATTGGGTTGGGACTACATAGACTATAGATAAAAATGTACTATCTTCGTCCCATATAAAATGTCGACGTCCATATTTTATATTTTCGTCTGTCTTACATAATTTGTCATTTTTTTAAAAATGTAATTATACAATTTAATTACATTTTAAATTTAATAATTTGTAATTTTTCAATCTTAATTAAACTATTTAGTTATAATTACTTTTATTATATAATATTGATTTTTACTAATACACTTCTTAATACTTACTAATTATACTTTCTGTTAATTCTCGTATCTACTTTCTTAATACTTATCGACGAAATTTTTTACATCCATTGCAGCTCATCACTAACGCCAAGTTCAAAAGTGTGTACCATAGAGTTTTGTCGAAGGAAGTTGGCCCGAGAATCTCCGTGGCATTTGTTTTTAGGATGCATCTAAATGCGTCGAAAGTGTATGGGCCGATGAAGGAGCTTATATCAGATGAAAATCCGCCGATTTATCGGGAAGTCTCTGTGGATGAGATCATATCGTGTCGATACAAGAATGGCATAAATGGAATCCCTCTACTATCCTACTTCAAATTAAACACATAATAATGTCCCTTGTGAGTATAAAAGATACTAATTCGATGCCTTAATAATCGATGCATACTAAATGGGTTGTGAACAAAAATTGCTACATTGTGTTGGTAATGTATTTGAGAGATGAGCTTGAAGGTATGTTTGTTTGGATTTTTGGAGTGTTTGAGCAATGATTTTAAAAGAAAATAATATTTTGAGATATAATAATATTCTTCCCGTCATATTTCAAAGTACTCATTTTACCATTTTCGTCCGTCTCATTTCAAAGTATCTCTTTCATTTTTTTATTTTTTTTATTAAAAGTAATTATACATTAATACAAAAATACTCTTAACTTTTATTTAAATTAAAAATATACAATTACACACACACTTACTTTTTACGGGCAAAAATGTCAAATCTTTTTACACACTTCAACTAACTAATAAAATACTTGTTGTTTCTAAATCTACTACAAAACTCCAAATGGTCAATTTCATAGAGGACGAATGAAGCATATAGATAGATTTTTTATTATGGACTCATTTTGTTGGGATTTTTTCTAAAGATTTTTTTCTAACTTTTCACTATTTTTCCCCTAAAACAATATCAAATGAATTTTTTTATATTATAATAAAAATTAATTTTATATTTAAAATATTACATCAACAACGCCAATTTATATTACACATCAGATTATTATTCAAATTTAAAATTTTCACTGTATTCAAAACTTAAAGTTAAAATTCAAACTTCCAAACAAATACACCACATGATTTTTTGTAAAAAATATTTTATCTCAAAACATCACATCTATCTCACTCTACAGATAAAAAAGTAAATCAAATACGAAAAATTAAAATAGAAGATGACAAAATAATATGATATTTTAGATTTATAAAAAAAAATATTGAATGTATTTTTTAATGTAAAATAAATTTTTGATCTTATATATTTAAAGATATATTTGATGTTAAAAAATTTAAGTGAAAGATATCTTATTTTAAAGTATACAGTGAAAAACAACTGCTACAGCACATAACATGCATATTGCTTCTCCCATGTTTAATGTACACATTAAATAATGATATCTTGTGAGGTTCAATTATTTCAATGTACATGTCAAGTTCCTATATTACATATTAGTGTGCTAATTTTGGATATATAAATATCCCATTAATTTGATAAAATTGGTACTTTAATTATCAAACAAACAATATATCTTGATATATTCAAAATATGTATTATATGGTACTTTATATAGATATATTTTTGCATTGTGATGAATAATGTATTGTATTATTATACTTCATTCGTCCGTTTCTTAGGGTCACATTTACTTTTTGCGTTATTGTACTTAACATTAAAATATCATTATATTTGTACATATATATATATACATATATATGTGTACAAATGTATTCTTTTAGTATTATAAGATACTAATGGAAGTACTTTTACAGATTTTTCTTAATTTGTACTATGTTTTGATATAATAATTAATATTTAAAGATCAACACGCAAAAAGTAGATGAGACCTTAGAGCCGGACCGATGTAGTATTATATTGTATTTATAAAAGAAATTTGTGGCTGCTATCTTTCGAGTGTGTACTGAGTAAACTTTAGCCGAACCTAATAGTTTGCAAATTAGATCGGACAAAGCATTGGTCAAGAGTCAATTCTCATGCCACCAAACATTGTTGCATACAATCATGTTTTATCTATTTCGATTAAATGTACTTTTTTTTTTTTTTTATTTTATTTATCATAATTAAATGTACTTTAGCATGAAAACCATAACCATTTGGTAATCCTAGCACATTGTTTGATTTCCATGGACACAATCAGCAATTTCTTATTGATATATATATATATATATATATTTATGATTGATATTTGATTAGAGAGAAATTAATAAATTTTATGTAAATTAAATAGTGTAACTAAAAAAGGTACACTCTTATCAAAATCAGTCTAAAATACAAGCACATTTTGTGAAAGGACTGTAGTTCAAGTGGTTCAATTATCTATCTATACTTAGGATCAATCTTTATTGGACATAACTGTGAAAAAAAATAAAAATGTATATGATAATAAAAAAAAATATATGAAATTTAATTCTCATAGGCTAGAAGAATATGTGATGTAATACACCTAGGGTGTGTTTGTTTGGGGGATTTTCCTCCGAATACACTATTCATCAAATTTTTCTTTCAAAAAATATCAAATCAAACGCCTATTTTTTATTTTTTTATATTATATTAAAAATTAATTTTGTATTCAAAATATCACATCTAACATTTATTTATATAACATCATACAAAGGGTGTGTTTGTTTGGAGGAGTTTGCCAAAAGTTCACTATTTATCCAAATTTTTTTTCAAAAACTATCATATCAAACACCTATTTTTTATTTTCTATATTATTTTGAAAATAATTTTTACATTAAAAACATTACATTAACACCTATTTATATCACATCATACAACTATTCAAATTCAAAATTTTTAAACATACACACCCTAAGAAACATAAATTTTCAGTAAAATCATGTGCAGAATTTGTATATGGTGTCTATAATTTAGCATCTTCAATATGGCTCTACAACATTTCCTTATATCTCATGTATCATCTCATTCTTTTATTAAAACTTGCGACCTTAAGGCCATGGGTTCAAGCCTTCGACGCCTCAGATCACCTGCTACACATAGCTCGTTTAGTGTAACTTTTTCGTCGGATCTGATTTGCACGATATTAGGTTCGACCGGAGATTTACCCGGTGCGCACTTTCAGGTAGCGGTTGCGGGTTCCCACGTCATCCAAAAATAATAATAATAAAAAAAAAAAGCATAATTTGTCATTTTAATTTATTTATGCCTTACGGAACTTACAATAATTATCTTATACTTAAAATTGACAAAAATAGACATGATTAAAAAATTGGATATGAATCTAACGCATATCCGGACGTAAACATATCCAAAAGAATTTGGTCATACTTACCAAGCACGGCTATGAATCGTGCTGGGTCATGACCTAGTCCAATTTATATACATAAAATATTTTAATTTAAAAATTTTATAAATATATTAACAAATGAATTTATATTAAAAATATGAATATAGTTTAGCAATTAAATTTTCGTCAGTTATATACTATTATTATGTTTGTTTTATAAAGAAATCTTATTAAATTATAGTTTTAAAAAATAACAATAATAATAAACGATCTAGTCTGATTTGAACCCATATTTTTAGACCGATTCAAAATCGAATTGAACTAGCCTAATTTTGCTACCTATAAAAATAAGTTATACACACATCAATCACATAATCTTAATATATTATTTATATCATTAATATTATTTTATACTTAATATAAAAAAAAAACACAAGATAAACACATTCAATATAGAAGTACAAAAAATAATAAATAATATATGTGGCTAGTACATGGTCGTGTCTAATAATATGCACTACTAGAATAGTATATATGGTCTAATCGAAAACTATTACTAAAAAATTACATAAACATGATTTAAGCGATTTTTGGAAATATTCCTACGTCTAAAAAATAATGAATAAATATTTTATATGTTAATTTTTTTTAAAAAAAAACATGTAAACTATTTTATGGAAAAAAAAAAAAAAAAAACCACTGATTAGGTAATTGATCGGTTTAGGGGTTATGTTATCGGGATAGCACAGCCCTCTTCTCGACTAAAACCCCAAGAATTTGATTCTTTTCTCTGCACTAAAATCCATGGCTTTATCGACGATTCCTTGCCACAAGGGTCCCTCCAAGTTCTTCCCCAACAATGGTTTTCTCCGAGCCACTTCTCTCCCGTTTCGGCCGACGTTTCTTCGGTACTGATATTTGATTTATCGTCCTGCTGATGCTTCCATTAACATTGCCTTGATACCTTTTTTTTTCCCCCTCCCAATGGGGAATTGTGTGTTTGGTCTCTTTAGGGTCTCCGGACTACACTCGAAGAGCAGGAATACGGTGCTTTGTGCGACATTTTCTGGTACCGGAAGCTCGGGTGCGAATAGCGACGCAAACCCCTATGAGGTAGCCTTCGAGTTTTGTTTATGGAATTTTATTTTATTTAAAAATTTTCAGCTTTTGTGGCTCACTTGACTGCGTTTAGGTATGTTTACGGTGTGCTTGGTCTATATATATATAGATGCGCTTAAACAATGATTTGATAATTGATACTATATTTTTGATGAGATGTTTCTAATGGAAAAATGAATTTTTTCTTTTTGGTTATATATCAAATGAAGAGTAAGTGTTTGATTTGATGGTTTTTGGTTGAGAATTTTTAATGGAAACATATGTTTTGAAGTTTTTTGTTAGTTATGTGATGTTTTGTATTGAAAATAGATTTTTTATGTAATATTTTAGACGATTAATAGGCTTTGAACTTATGTTTTTCAGTGAAGGGATTTCTAACGAATATTGTGAAAACATAAGTAAAAGAAAGTGTTGGTTATTGATTTCGCAATATCAATGCAGGTACTTGGTGTGAATCCCCTGGAAGGATTCGATATGGTGAAGGCTGCTTACGCCAAAAAGCGGAAAGATGCAGAGAAGAGGGGCGATGAAGCTGCTGCATCTCAGGTATGTTCTTGTGGTGAGCTCAAAATGTAATGTTGATGATTGTTATCGGCAGCCATTGATGGTGAATGTATTTTTGTTTTCAGTTGGAAAAGGCATATGACAAAATAATGATGTCTCAGTTAACAAAAAGGAAAAAAGGCGAGACGTTTGGATCGTTTCGGGTAAGGAAGAGATTCTTTTGTTTACTCATTTGGAGTTGGAGTTGATAGATAATACCTTCGTAATACTAGTGGCTACATTAAGGTTATTATTGTCTTTACATTGTGATAACATGATGACGTTTATGGTGATTAGTGCTGTGATGTAAGAATTATTGTGATGGCAGCAATCAGTTCTCCATATGACTATAATAAATAAATCAAGATTCCAAATTTGCGTGAGATAATAACGAATTGGACTAGCAGTCTAGCACGATTGCAAGTAATGATAATATTATTCCCTTAACTTGTAACCACTCTAAATTTGTTTTTTCATTTATGTTTTCGATATTTTTGGTTCCATTTGTTGTGCAATGGTTCTTACATACACACACATTTATATATTTTAATCAAGATTCTTCATTACTCAAATTTACCTTTATATTAATTATGGATTAAGTATTGTTGGACTTGCTTCTTTATTGCTTATCTCGTCTAAACTCTTCACTTAGAAGGAATTCTTTCTCATTCATTTCTGTAAACAATTAGTAAGTAATTGCCGGAGCGATTGTATGGCACGTGTTTGGCAAATTGCCAAATGACAGTAGAGCTATGAATACAGATAAGCTTCGTAGTCTTCTCTTCTATGCATTGTTTTATTAGTTCTAGTTTGCTGATGCTATGTAATGTTGCAATAACACTATATCCTCCGGGATGGGTCTTCTAAACACAGGCTCGAGTAATCTAGTTTTCGGTTCAATTTTATAATTTGAAATATCATCTGAAAGATAGAGCACTAGGAACAGTTTTTATAGGCTGAATTCATCGTTGTTTTATTCTGTATAGCGCACACACTTTCCTCTTTTTTTCTCTCACTAACTTTGTAATTTTTTTAAGTGGGTTTCATGTGAGAAATAAGTAAACACTAAAGCCTCAATTATATTTGAAGTTTCTTGTCGAATAAACACTAAAAAAATAACATGTTCAAATCTCCTTAGCTGGTATTGGATTTGTGTTGTTCTTTGGTCTATTTCATTCTAGTGAGTAGTGAGGCACTTGAGTTAAGAACACATTCATGTATCGTTATGCTGGGGGAATGTGAGATGTGGAGTGAGAATAGGCTTTCTAGCTGTAACATGTGGAATTTATGGTTAATTTAACTAGGTTAGGTAATTCGATGTCTAGTTCCTTGGTGAATTCATGTTGTTTTGTTGTGTTTAGAAGAGAACTAATGATGCAACTAGGAATCATCAATCATTTTCATTTTTTTTGTAATGTATTTGCCTCTGCTTCTGTGATGCTCAGGTTTCTAAGGATATAAAGTATGCTGACAAGCAACCAATTGTTCCATGGGCCCCAAGGTATGTGTTTCTAATACTATTGCTCACTTCGGATATTTATTACAATGCGTGTCCACCTCAAGAAATGAACCACTTTATTTTAATATTTAAACAAGCAGAACAATAATAAACAATAGAAATGAAAACTCCCATATTAGTAAAATCTTGAAGCTCAGTGTGATTTTATTTTCTGTAATGAACTATTTCCTCCTTTCACTAACGTGGTTGTGGTTGTCCCCTCTGCTCTAACAATCTTCCATCTTCATATATTCTTCTTCCATTCTTGTTTCTTTTCTCTAATTTTGTCTGTAATGTTTCATTCTCAATATTCCAATTGGTTTCAGTTTTTTCGTTCTCTATTACCTTTCTTTTCTTTCTTTTTTAAGCATGCTTTACAGTTTTATATAGCTGATTAATGCGATACTATTTACATAATTTTGCTAAATCAGAGGATCAGTATATGTAACAGTTATCTATAAATGCTTGTTAATTGACCTAAAGTAAAAAAGCCATATTGTAATCTGATGTTAAAATAAATAATACTGTTCTATGATTATGAATAATCTTCTGTGCTTGCGACATTGCTTGATAAGTACTGTTCTGGCTATATCTGCCCCCCCCCCCCCACCGCCAAGTAAATTTACAATATTTGATAGGATTTGTTTGGGTCAATTTTCACATTTGAGGTTTTGGTTCATAGGTTTTTTATGCTCCCTTTATTTTCTTTCATCTGTAATAATATTAATATTACTTTTGTCGTTTCCATGTGGTATATGGTTCAGGCCTGCCAAATCTGAGGCCAAAGATATTCAGATAAACATGGCAATATCTGCTGTATTTGTAAGTGCAAAACATTCTTATTTTTGTCTTTTTCCATCAGAATATTTTTCGGTTATTTATATGACCAATTTTTAAGAAATGGGAGAATTGAAATGGTTGAATTACTATGTCTTGTCCTTGCATCTTGAATGTCAATGACACCTTTCTGTGGACTGAGCTTATATCTTTTAAAGAATATCTTACATAAATATGAACACTTCCAATGCCAGAGGTTCGTTTTAGAATATAAAAAATAATTGACTACGAAGTCCAGCCGAGCTGACTTTTTGCCCTCAGAATCAGTTGTTACAATTTAATGATGTATTTGCTATTTCTGTCAAGTGCCAACCCATCTTATTATGCGGCGGTAATGAATGTGGAGCTCAGTACATCTACAAAACAGTTTCTGTAAAAGGAAATTTTTAGTATCACTATGTGATGAAGTAAACTACAATAATTGCTGATTTCATTTGAATATTATGTATTATACTCATATGCGATGTTTATTGGACTAAAATTTTATGACTAGCGAAAAATATTGGCTTGAAGGCAAATGAAAAGATAATTGCCTGAAAAATTAAAATTTCTTGGAACGAAATAAAAGTAGAATTGGCCTTCAGAAAATGCAGATATATATTAATGATTGTTCTGTTTATTGCAGACTGCTTGGATCTTTTTTCAGCGTAACGCTGAATATAAACCCTTGCAGTTTCTAGCTTTTGTGTTTTTTTATCGGGTATTTGAGAAGTTGAAGGCCTTTGACTCACCTGCTACTTCTGCTTTTACAGTAAGTTAGACAGGAAGAATTTGGCATTTCTTTTTTTTTTACTTGTCTAAGAGATTCTCAATGATTAATGTTGTTTGTTTCCTTCTTACATATTTAGCTATGTTTCTCTACTGATGTGACTGCAGGAAGATGGCGAGGATGAAGGTAGAATGATGCGAATGGGCAAAAGACTACTTCGATCTCTTGCACTAGTTTTTGGATGTGTAGCTTTTGCATCATTGGTATACTAAAAAAATTTGGCTCTGTTCTTTTAATTCTTTTTTTTGAATTTCTTTACTATGCAGTCTCAACGGTTTTTGATAAAAATACTACTTTTTTCAATTCCTTTACAATACAGTCTCTACAATTTTCTTGTTTAAATACAGTACAAAATGCTTTTAGAGTTCTCTACATCAATTAATTTGCTTGTCATTTTTAAATATTTCCCGTCCATAATAAGTTGTTGTTTACATCTTAAATATTCTTCTTATGTCATAATTATTGATTTCAGGGATACACTGCTGTTATAAATGTCTTTGAATTTGCTACTGGTTTTGTGCCTATTTTCTTGTACAACAACCAGGTATTTACAATTCTTTGCTGCTGTAAATACAGACCATTTGTGTCTTATGGATGATAATAGTTCGTGCTTGTGGGTGGATTATCTTATTTAGTTTTTGTATGTGTTGTACCCTTTGTATTCTCAGTTATTTGAACCTTTTAGGTCGAATCTTAATTACTTTCCAGAGTTTTACACTATAAAGATTAATTGATCAAGCTACATAACCATTCTCTTAGGGAACATATCTTAATTAAAAATTGATGCTCGACATTTTGATATGATTTATATTTATTGATAGTATGCATAATTGAATACAATATAAAAATTTTGATTCAGATTGAATCTAGATATATGTTTTGGAAGTGTTTTGGACTGTGACTAGTAAAAAGTTAGAATAAAAAATAAATATTTGATACACATAAATAAAACTTAAATATTTGATGTGATATGTTTTTAAAAAAATGTATTGCAATGAATAGTGCCAGAAAGTGGTTTGAGAACATACGTAAACAGAGCCTTAACAATTTTGCGCATGTATCAATTTGCCATATTCTGTGGCCTGATTTCAGTCTTTGCGTCGCCTTTTCATTCATGTTGTTTACAACTTTAAATTTATGTGATGGTATTGTACTATGCTCTGAATTTCTTGATACATACAGTTGAAGTTTTTGCATCATCGAATACTTTGTTATTTGCATCTGATGTTGAATATTTGGGGAAAATGATGACAATCCTGATATTTTTTTATATGCTCAGGAGCTGCTTGTAACTGCGTCCTCGGCGCTGATGCTTCACGTGCTAGCATCGTTTTACAGATAACCTCTACTAGTTGAGCTCAACAATGAGAATGACGGCGCAGGTTTGTGACTAATGCTGATATTTTTTGCTGAACTTTTGCCTGTAATAGGGACCAGTTTTGAGATTGTTTAAATATATAAATATCTGAAATTGCGGCGAAAAGTGAGTTATGCAATTTTAGTTCTTTGGGGGTTCAAAATTTGCGAAGCCATGATGGGGTTGTATGGTTTGCTGACTTATTGTTTGGATTACCTTCTCAAAGAGAAATAAAGGAAAATGAACATGAAATGAAATGAAAATGTGAGAAAATGAGTCCCGTAAGGGATCGACAAGTGGTACAGGGTGAACTTGTGACGTGTGGTCGTAGATTTAAATCGGAGCCTTTGAATTTTGCCAACCACACAAATTTCGCTAAAGAAAATGAAGGGAAAATAGTTAATTTGTTTAGAGTTACATTTTCAACACGCATTGAAAATATATTATTGTATCTTGTAAATATTGTAAAAGTAATTTTATATTTTGTAATAATTTGTTTTATACTATTATTATTACTTGAGTTTGTACATTTATACTATGGATATAAATAGAATTTGATTTTATTATGAATTGATATATATATATATAAATTTGCAAATTCATGATATCAGAGCTCTTTTTGTTGTAACACAGGTGAGCAAAATATTTGAAATTTAAAATTTGATTTGAATTAAATTAGAATGAGTCGGATTGAATATTTTATAAATTTTATATTTTTGGATCGATTTACTAAAAGGTTCAAACAATTTAATATTTGAAATATAATATTTTAATATAATTTATTATTATATACTATTATATTTTAATGTTAAATTATTACTTTTAATAATATAATAATATATTTTAAAAATTTTATAGAAATCTCACCTAACAAGACAGATTTTCTCTTTGTTATTTATTCGAAATGTTCAATAAAATTTATAAACTTTAAATTATGAATGGTTGAATATTTAAAAGACTTTAAAAATATAGATTGAATATTTAAATTTTAAAAAAGTTAGAAGTTTTTGAATAAATTTGAATTTTAAAAATTCAATCAAATCCTACAAAATGGTAGCTAAGATGACTCTTTCTTTCAAATAGGTAACATGTGTGTATTTTTGGGATAACTAAAAAAATTAATTGCAATTTTTTTTTTTAAAAAAAAGTATAATCAATAAAATTATAGATAGAAATATTAATTATTTCTGCAGCTAACCACTATTTATATATGGTATATAATACTATTTTTAATATTAATAAAAAATTGCAATAATCTTATAACACTAAAAAGATTTTGTACAAAAAAAATTATACAAATATAAAAATATTTGTAATGCTAAGTACTAAATGTAATATGTATAATCCTGATGATGTGATGTAAAGAGAGTAATAAATGAATAGAGATTTGGAGAGAAATTGATATATTCTATTTCATTCATTTATGCGCGTATTGATAAATTAAGCATCCACACATGTTTCTTTATTTTAATACCAAACTCGACCAAAATACCAAACTCAACCAAAAGTAACTGACCTAAATTTTGCATAAATAGTTATATAATACAAATAATAATAATAATAATAATATTAATAATAATAATAAAATTAGGTTATAAGAATATAAGGCCGAATAATTATTAGGCCCAAATATGGTATAAATACCAACTGAATATTGAGCCCAACAACGTGCAATCACATCGACAAGAAAGGAAGAAGAAAAGCAGCAGCGACGAGAGTACGAAGACGGTTGCGATGGACTATGACGAGCCGGAGGAGCAGGCCAGCGTCGACTCGGGGGAGATGGAGGCTGAGGAGGACGAAACCACTTCTACACTGGATCTGATCGCCGACTGTCAGGCAATGGACGTAAGCCGCCTGGTGGACCCCACTTTCTACAACGCCTTCTCAGACGATTTCGATGATGAAGACATTTACTGAAGCTATTGTGAGTATACGTCTCGCGTTTTTGTTTTTTGGTATAATTTCATTGATTTTGATTAAGGAAGGAAACGAGGAGCTGTTGGAGTGTTGCGGTTTACGCTGATTGTTCGTGCATTGATTTCATTTCGGTTTCAAGCTGTAGATGCTTTTATTGTCGATGAACCGTCGTTTTATGTTCTCGTATTTCGTAGTGTGATGCGTGCATTTCGAATGAGTGTGAATCGTTTGGACAATTTGGGGAAAATAGTAATAAAATTCTGTTGAATAGCTTCGTCGTTGTGATGTTATCTCTTCAATGGTTTCTGCAGTAGATATATATATATATATATATATATATATAGGCTTGGATTCCATTACTACCAAGCAGTTTAGGAGAATAATTCACAGCAAATTTCTTTCAATGGTGTTTCCTGGATAATTTTGATGGTTAAGCATGGAGTGTGGTTGAAATACCTTCCTGAAGGAATGTGATCATATATGTACCATATTGAAGCTTGTCACAAATATTTTCCTAAATCCATATCTATCGAAATTTAGCTTGAGAATGGCATAATACTAATAATTTTGCATTCGTATTCTTACAAGGAAAGATAAGACTTTAGCATGGCTAATGAAGTAGGTGTAGAAATATGAAATAATGATAGATTGGGGATGGTTGGAATTACACCAGCGATGTTCGACTAGGTTTAATTCTTGGATTTCATGGAACTTCCTTTTGTTGTATCCGGAAAGACAAACTAGCTGAATTAATTTTTGTTGGTCGGAAAAGCTTTTGAATTTCCCTGAGCGGCACTTGCTCTAACATTTGTAGCATCAAGATTCTACCTATTGCCTTATGTGCTCATGTTGTTTGGTGCGCGTAATAGGTGAAATTGAGAAGCTTCATTGTCTTTCTAGTAATTTGATGAAGTTTTTCTTTTATATGAAATCTTTTGATTGCTTGCAATTTAGATAAGGAAAGAATTTCCTTACATTTTGGTTATTAGTAAATTTGTTGAAGTTTATTGCATATGCCAACATGTTTTATTGATCTAAATTTAGATGTAGAAATATTGCAAGAACGTCCTTACATTTTTAATGGTTAACTTCTTGTGTTTTTTTGGTTATTAGCAAAACTTCATTTTCATAGAATACCCAAAAATAAATTGAGAAACTTGGGCATGGTATGTAATGTATGGGTAGTTTTTTGGTTATTTTTGGACCAACACTTAAACTCACATCAATCATTTTAGCAATTTTCTTGCTGACTCTACTTACCAAATAATTAATTGTGCCTTCTTTTCTTTTTCTTTTTTTTTTTTTTCCAAAGCAAAAACAAAAACACCAATTTGGTATCCATCCATTGATTCATATTTATTCTGTTTGTTTGTTTGTTTTTGTATGTTGCAAAAATGTCTGGGAATGGCAATGGCAATGGGAATGTGAATGGTGATGAAGAACAGACCCATGCCCAGATTCAGGTGATGTAATCCTATCCTATCTTTCTTTCATTCATTCAATATAAATAAGCATATATATATATATATGTGTGTGTGTATTTCTATTTTGTTGGTTTTTCTTTTAATCATGTAGGTATGTATATGTATATGATTCACATATTTAATTTCATCACCTGGAAACTTTAGGGTGTGTTCTTCCATAAAAAGGTTTTCCACATGTTTCCAATTGATATTATAAAAATAATATATATATATTCACATAAAATATATTTTTTATTTTAAAAATAATAATAACGAATTATTGATAAGTTTTTTTTTTTGTACTAATATAAAAACACTTCAAATTAAAAATACAAAACAAACAAATTTTTGGGTCTGTTTGAATATATAATTTTTTAAAATTTTAATTAAATTAATTAGATATCTTAATTTTAATATATAATTATTTATATTATAGGATAATTAATTTTATTAATATATTTTTAATTATTTACTGTGTATACTTATTCTAAAATTCTAGTGTCTAGGCAAGGAGAGTATCAAAAAATAATTTTTTTTTAAAAAAAAAATGAAATATCCAAATTTCATAGAGTAGAGAGGACCTAGGTCCCAAACTTATTTCTAAAAACATATATGTATATATTTAGTATTAAAAAAATAATTAGAATGAATTCTCATAAGGATGTCACACATGGTTTGGTTCTCGCCCAGTGTGATTTTTCTTGTCGGGGAGGCTTATTCAGTGTGCATTTTCGAATAGCGGCTACGGATTCTCACTTCATAAAATATATATATATATATATAGAATAAACAATAAAATTGCTAAAAAGTGTGGATAAATAAGAAGTTTTTGGATAATTTTTTTAAAAGGTCAAAATTTCTTATAACAAACAATTGTACTATTTGTTGAAAATAAATATTTGTAATATATAGCTGTTATTGAGATTTGTTATTTTGTAAAATTTTCAAATTAACAAATAAGATTGTGTTGTCTTGAAAGTTTGAAAAATTATCGATTGCGCCATAATGGTGAAAAGAATTTGCAGGTGGAAAGGGAGAAATGTAGCGCAGGATTATTAGGAATTAAAAATGCAGCACGAGCGAAGGCACGTGACAAAGCCAAATACACGGCACAAATAACCCCACAACCAACTACTACTACTCCTACAACGTTCACTCGTTAGTTTGTAGTATGTTTTGGTATTTTGAAACTAAGCAATAAAAATATACAATGAAACTTCAATGCTGCTGGAATGTTTGTTTCTTATTTTAATTTGAAATGTAGTATATTTTATGCCAACTATGAATAATTATACAGATAATATAAAATATGATATTTTGTTTTAAAGGGTAAACTATTTTTTTTTTTTTTCCTTAAATGGAGTATGTCGCAAACTAGTTCCATAAGTGGAAAATTTTCGTTATTTTAGTCCGGCGCTGAAAACGCCCGCGTGGCTCGCCGGAAGCCACGTGTCCCACCAGGTCAGCGACACTTGACGAATATGTGGATTTTGTTCTTTTTAATTTTTTTTTCAATTGAACCAAATAAAAAAATTTAAAAAGGGAAATAAAATTAAAAATAAGTTAAAAATAAATTTAAAAAATAAAATAAAATAAAATAGAATCTACGCGGGCGTCTCTGGCGCCGGAGGACTAAAACATCGAAATTTTTTCACTTATGGGACTAGTTTGCGACAAATTTTACTTACGAAACTAAAATAATAAGAGGACGAGACTAAAAAAATAGTTTACCATTTTTAAATTATTGATTTTTTTGGAGAATAAAATATATAATTATTACATTATATGGATGTGTATATATATTGTAGTATTTTTTTTTTATTAATATTTATCAAAATTGTTAGCAATAATTTGTTGGGTGAAAAAATCAAGTCTACAATATTTTAGAATGGAAATTTTATACTGATAAGTTTAGCTACAAGATTTTGGATTATATAACAAAAACATTTAAAATTATAAATACTAAACATATTATTTTTAATCAAATATATAATTTATAAACTTTTAAAATAATTTATTTGAAATTTACATGTTATAATTAAATAAATAAAAATATAATTGATTATAGTTTTAAAAAAATCAATTAAATTGGATAATTGAAAATTTTAAAAGTAAATTATAAAAACAATTATTAACAAAATACTTTTATATTGAACAGTTATATCTTTAATAATTTTAACAGCTTAAAAAATATAATATAATTATTTTTATAAAATTTCATTCAAATATAGCATTAAAATACGTTTATTTTAACTTTTATTTATTACTTCTACTTAATTTTCTAAATTAAATCAAAAGGACTTAAGTTAAAATAAAAATGGAATGGGAGATTTTATACAAAAGTTTATCATTCATTAATTTTTTTATTTATTATAAAATATCAAATCATATAGTAGTAATTATTTTTAGTTTTACATTCAAAATATGTCGATATCTATTTATATTATGTTATATTACTATTTAAATTAAAAATTATTTCAAATTTAAATTCAAAATTCAAATATGAAAATACGCAATCAAACACACCCATGATAAATTTAGACGGAACAGTATATGCAGGCTGCAATTTAAAATGGATCAACCCGGGCCACTTATTATTATTATTGGACTTGTTTGATTAAAATTTTAAATTTATAAATCAAAGTATTTACACTTTCTAATTTTTACCCTAATTAGTTAAAATAAAATTTAAATCAAAAGGTTAATTTCAAATTAAAAATAATAGATTTATTATTTTTAATAAATAAATAAATATATATAATATATTTTATTGTTAATTATATTATACTTTCTTTTCATTTGAAACAAATTGTTTGGAGTTTAAATGAATAATATTCTCCCCGTTTCGAATAAATTGTCAGTTTTAATTAATTTGTTCATATTACTGTAAATATGAGAATTTAGATAAAATATAATTAATAAATAATTAAAAATTATATTAGTAAAAATAATTCCGATATAATAAAAATAATTATAAATTAAAATTAAAACAAATAAATAATATAATTAAAGTTAAAAAAATTATAAATTATAAAATTTAAAATACCATTAAAAAAGACAATGTGAAATGAACGATAAAAAAATATAAATAATTTACGCGCAACGTGAATAATTATTGTAAATTAAAAAATAATAATATTTTATATATACAAAATAAATATATATTTATAATTTTAAATATAAAATTTAAAAAAAATATATATTTTTTAATTGAAACAAATAAACCCATCAATTTTAATATATATATATATATTAATTTAACCCATAATTTTGAAATTCCGAAAAATCTTCTGGCCTTGAGACAGACAGGACATCAGCCAGCCCTAGCCGTCTCTCGTCTCCCCGGTTCGTCTCTTCCCTCTCCTTATTTCTTCCTCTGCCCTTTCTGCTTCTCTACTTACCCCCTTCTTCTCCTTCGTCTTCTTCTTCTTCTTCTCTGGTATTACTTTTCATCTCCTGACCAAGACAGGCCGGGCAGCATCCTTCTATCGTTTTCTTGTTTCTACAGTTTCGTCGGAGCCTTTGTAAGTTCACCAATTTTGCATTATTTGCTCTTGTTTTTTGATTCTTCCAGCTGCTATGGTGTTTAGGGTTTAGTTAATCGTGTTGATTTTAGATTGGCTCGAAGGGTTCAAGTCTATTAGGCCAATTTTTGTTGGCTTTGTGCATTCTTCTTATGTAGTGAGTTCGTTTCTTTCGTTCTTTGTTGGAAACTTTCTACTTCTTTGATGAATTCAACATGTACATTGCTTATTTTGAAATATTCATTGATTGATTTTCAATTAACGGAAGGCCAAGCCCCCCCATTTTTGATTTTCAATCTAGGGTTTCCTTAATATCTTCTCTTTTTCTACCAGCTGCGACGGCATTGATGAGGAAAGGCACCAAGAGGAGGGCGGCCAACAAGGCCGAATCTAAGAGCAAACCTGCTGATAACCACAAAAGCGAAGAAGAGAACCACGAGGACCAGCAGGGGGCCAATGCTGATCCTCAGCCAAGTAAGAATGAAGCACAGAGAGGCAGACCAAAGAAGGCTAAAGTTTCCAAGGAGGAAGAGGAGCCAGAGTACTTTGAGGACCAGCGGGATTTGGTAATTTATTATTGTTTTGGGCGTGCTACTATCGGATTTAGCCTGCTTGTAAAATTATCATTTCATTATTCATGAATGATCTGGATTCTGCTTATTATTCAAGAATGTCTGATTTTTCTTTTAAAGTTTTTTTTATTGATTGCTAATATGTGCAGGAGGATCTTTGGAAGGAGGTTTTCCCAGTTGGTACGGAGGTAAGATAACATTCTATTCATTTCAAAATGATATTTTAGCTGCATTCATATTGCTTATGCTGTTCTAAATGTAGGTTTGATCATTTCTCTGTTGTTATTATTATTTATTTATTTATTCTTAATTTTCAGTGGGATCAATTGGACACGGTATATCAATACAAGTGGAACTTTTCTGTTTTGGAAGTGAGTTGCCACATCTTGCTATTCATTCAGTTGAATCAATGAAACTTTTGTTTGTTCCTTGTTCCTTAGTTCATTATGCAATGGTTTTTCACTTTAATGATGACACAAATTAGATATAAACCAAATGAGGTAGTTATGAGATTTTAGCCTAATATTGTTTGTGGTTTGGCAGGATGCATTTGAAGAAGGTGGAGATCTATATAATAAGAAGGTCTACCTCTTTGGATGCACTGAGCGTAAGTGGCCACTGTGACAGTGCTATGTTTTTTAACCATTTGAAACCTGACGTGCAAATATATTATTGTAATTCATATTCAAGTTTTATAGCAACACAAAAGTCTCTTTACCATAACAAGAAAGCTTTTTTTTTTTTTTTTTTTTTTTTTTTTTTTGGCTGGACAACCCAATTTTCTCAATGATTACATTTTCCGTATTCTACCATTGTTTAATTTTGTATTGGCTCCTTGAAGAACCAGAGGATTTCACATCTCTATGATCAATTCTTTCACTTCTATATTTACTAGATTTGTGGTTGCACGCTGACTAACTATTAATTCCTGCAGCACAACTGGTCCCTTTCCGAGATGAAGCAAAAGTGACAATGATTCCTGTTGTTGTTGCTGTAAGTCCTGTAACACAAGCCTTTTCCATGTGTATACAATTGCTTAATTTGTTTATTTGATTTTTTGATTTTTAATGATGTTCTATAAGGGGGTTTATGTCTTTTCATGCCCTTAGAAATTGTTGAGGTTTAGTCTGAAAGTTATTCTAGTGAATTGATGCTGCTCTTGCATGCTACCCTGCAATCTTTCAATTTCCATTGTTGGTTGTCTGAGCTAGGGCCACAGGGCACCTTCAATTTTAAATTTGGCGGTAGGAGTTCTTGTATATGCCTTGTGAAAGTTGGTGTTATTAAGGTTTGATTCTATTGGCTGTGATCTCTTGTATCTTGACTACTTATGATGGCATTTGTTCAATGCTGTGCTTCCATCAGAAGTGGAAGTTATTGGTAACTTCTAATTCTAATTAAAGATATGAATTTTGTACCAATTTATGTGTCTTAAATATGCTTCTCCCACAGGTGGTATCACCTTTTCCTCCATCCGACAAAATTGGTATTAAATCAGTTCAGAGAGAGACTGAAGAAATTGTGCCTATGAAGCAAATGAAGATGGACTGGGTCCCATATATCCCACTTGGAAAGAGGTTACAAATGTTAATTTATTTGCTTATTTTCTATCCTCTTATCATTTGACTTTTATTGATTTCATTCATTTTCATCAGGGGCTCAATGGTTGAAAGACTTAAAAATTACCAAATTTTCATTTTGAGATGTAATCAGAGGAGGTAAAGCTCTATTGCTTGTTTGCAGTTAACTACTTTTTCTTTCTTGATGCAGATCTATTGCATTTGAATACTGGATCTATGCATTCATGAATTAGTTTAGTCAGTTCCCTGTTGTTTTTCCGTATTCTTTATTTTTCTGATTGATCAACTGACAGTAACTGATAAATGTATATGTTTGCATGGTTTAAGACTTGTTGCTGGTACCATGCTTGTTTCTTCCAATTCTTATTTCCAAATTGGCACATCTAATACACTATGATCAACTTTATCTATGTGTTACTGTTGAGTAAATTGGATAAGTTTCCCTTGTCCTAAACTTTCATCTATATTTTCTTCATAAATTGGCTGTCTACATCAACTCATTCTAGGAGTCCTAATATGAAAGTCAATCTTTAGTACTGTCTTCGTATACTAAATGGAAACAATGGAGAAATGCCTTAAGTCCTATTTACATTGTCTAATTAAATTTTTTTAGAGGTTAAGATTTAGTCTTATTAAATCTTTTTTAGGCTAAGGATGGCTGTTATTTGTGATCATTTGCCTGTGGATAGTGTTGGTTTCCCATATGCCTGACTGGCCTATTTAAGTGAAAATTACAGCATTCATGTCCTTATGTTGCTTCTGCAGGGCTGGTCTGAAGCACTTGAAAATAGACCGTGTCAAGAAGTTCGAGTATTGCTTACCTTGTGAGTGAATTTTCTATTCCATGATCTTAATTTATTATGCAACCATATTTTGGTAAAGTAATGTAATTCTTTTTCCCGTATGCTTGCAATTCATGATCTTGTCTCATTTAATTTGCTTGTTCTATTAGAACGAGAATATCATGTTCAAGCCATTTAACATGTTATATTCATGAAAATTTCAAACACCACAATTCCTTGTTATTTCCTTAAGATTACTGCTGCACACTTGTAATGTTGCTTCTCTCGAGTCTCACTTGTATAGCTGGGATATATCTCTGGAACACAGACCATATTTAGTTTGATGGATATGGTTGATATTTTATTCTGTATTTTCATTTGTTTAATTTGTATGATAGAATTGTGATTAATTATATAAAAGACAAAGAATTACACTTTTGGGTAAAATATCTAATGGGATTTAATAATGTTATTATATCATTCAAAATAATTGTGCTTGAAAATTCTAGTTGCCATATTTTACTTCGTCCAAATTCCATTGCATATTAGATGGGCTGGCTTGAGCGATGATTGAAAATAGTGAAATTTAACTGTAGAAACCCTGTCTTCAATACTATCATTGGACTTTTGAAGCAAACCCTGACATTTTCAACAATTAAATTTGTAAAAGTAAATCTTGTATTTTCACAATCTTCTTTCTAGTTTCTTGAATTTCTATTATTCTGTAACTGTATTAGAATTTTAGATCATCGATTTATTGTTTGTATAGCTAAAATAATAACTACATAGCTCTGTTATGGTCAACAATCTCATTAGTCCCTGTAGTTATCAACTCAATTTGTTTTTTCGCAGATTACTACAATCCTTTTCAGGAAGATGAAATTGAACAGAGCACAATAGTGGATCTATTATTTCCAATAGACCCCAAACCGGTAAGATCATATTATATATTAATGATTTGATCTCTTCCATAATAGATGAATTGCTGTTTTAAGAGTCAGGAGATGTCTAGGCTTCTGTTAGACAGTGACAACTGACACCAATGATCGGTTGCTTTACCAAGTTCTTTGAAATAGTTTAACAGGATACTTACAATTTTTCCTGCAGGTTTTTGGTGAATTTGATTGGGAACTTGATGAACTAGAGGTATGCTTGCAAATTAAATTGTCCAAATTTTGACTGATTTCAACTTTGCCTGCTGGATTTCTGTGTGGTTTTGTATTGATTGACGTACATTGTGCTCTGAAATAATGAAAGATTAATAACTATTTAAAATGGAATCCATACAGGAGTTTACTGATAAGCTTATTGAGGGAGAGGAATTACCTGCCGATCAGAAAGAACCCTTCAAGGTCAACTGTCACGACTATGTGCTTGTAGTTCATGGAATTTCTCCATGTATGATTTAACATTTTATATAATAGGCATTTCTATTCTTCTTGTAGAATTTTGTGAAAGAGAAAGTTCGAGAAGCTAAAAAGGCAAATCGAGAGGTGTGTTTTCTTGAGTCAAGGATCTTCTTGTTAGTTTTATATATATATATATTATCATGTTTGTTGAATCTTGCTTTCTGTATAGGCAAGGGAAGCCCGGAAAAAGGCACTGGCTGAAATGAGTGAAGAAGCAAAGGCTGCTTACGAAAACATGAAATTCTTCAAATTTTATCCTGCGCCATCTCCCGACACTCCTGATGTGTCCAGAGTGAAGGTAATTGTCTATTAATTCAATTGTAGGCTTCTTCACTACATGAAATTTTATTTACTAATTACACTTGCGATTCTTGAATCTCAATGCTATCGATGGTTTTTCCTTTCCCTAGTAGTCCCCATTGCATTGCAATAAGGTTTATGAACGATTATCTGAATCCCAAAATGCTTTTGGCTTTCTTATTGCAGTCGGCGTTCATCAACAGATACTACGGGAAGGCTCACAAGGTCATATAAAATGAGGTGTCGAAAACCACATACTATTTAAGGGAAACATCTTTTAACCGATGCCCGTTGTTACTGATGAGTCATGTACCGTAAATTTCGGCTTGAAACTGGAGAAAATGCACTAAATGCCATCAATCGAGGCCTGGTAATTATTTTCATCTTTCGTCGGTTCAAAGTTAAATCTTTAAAAGATTAGGAAGGTGAGAATCAAACATCTTTGAATTCAAAAAACCAATTTTGGAGATTACTGAGTTGAGATTACATTCATAATTATAAACATTCCCTTTTGTTACCTGAATGTAATTCTTGAGGAGAGGAGAGTTATTAATGTTGTACTGTTATAGCTAATCCGACCTCTTACCTTTTCTGGAAAGTCTTGGGTTGTGTAATTTTTGTATTTTTGTTCGATTTTTAAATATTTAATTTTCATTTAAAGTATTTATCCTGCTATGTAATAATAATATATTATAAAGGTAAGTATGATATATGTATGTACGAGTACGAGTGTGTTTGTAAATATGTATATATATATATTTAAAGATGTGTATATATGTATATAGTTATAGAGGGAGAGAGAGAAACATGACAACAATAATAAATGTTTGATCGAGGAATTCTGTGTGTGTTCATTCATGATCTTATCACACATATTTATAGGTGGGGTGAGCAATAATTATAGTACACGTAGTAGTTTGTTGTATAACATGCATCCATACACTAAAATTTATCTACGTCAATGTGATGTGTATAATATGTGTATAACACTCTCCTTGGATGCTTTATACAAAGAATGCGCTTCGCTAAAACCTTATTATGAAAAATCTCTGTGGGAAAAAAATCATAGTGAAGGAAAAAGAGTACATCATTCTCGTATTAATACGCTCCTCCTGCTCTGGATTTTATTTAATGTCTTTCGTCCGACGCATTCCAATTCCTTGCACCAGTTTGTTGAATGTTGCAGTCGGTAGTGCCTTCGTAAATAAATCTGCAAAATTTTCAGACGATCAAATTTGTTGCACATCAATTTCACCACTTTTCTGAAGATCGTGAGTGAAAAAGAACTTCGGAAATATGTGCTTTGTCCGATCGCCTTTAATATATCATCTCTTTAATTGAGCTATACAAGCTGGCATTATCTTCAAATAATATTGTAGGAGGTAATATATCATTGGTAATCAAGCCACAATTCTTCTGAATATGGTGAGTCATGGACCTTAACCAAACCCATTCACGACTGGCTTCGTGAATAGCTAAAACCTCAGCATGGTTTGAAGAAATAGTTGTTATCGTCTGTTTAGCAGATCTCCAAGAGATCGCGGTTCCACCACAAGTAAACAAATAGCCAGTTTGAGATTTTGCTTTGTGCGAATCAGACAAATAACCAACATCAGCAGAACCAGTTAATTCATTTCGAGATTCACTCGAATAAAATAAACCGAGGTCATGAGTCCCCTGAAGATAACGAAAAATGTTCTTGATACCATTCCAATGGCGCTTTGTGGGGATGCGCTAAACCTGGCCAGTAGATTTACTGAAAAAGTTATATCTAGCCTGGTACAATTTGCAAGTAATATTAATGCGCCAATAACGCTCAGATATGGTACCTCGGGACCAAGTATCTCTTCATTTTCTTTTCTTGGCCTAAATGGATCTTTACTGGAATAAAGGGATCTGACCACGATTGGTGTACTCAGAGAGTGAAATTTATCTATGTAAAATTGTTTTAATACCTTTTGGGTATATGTTGATTGATGGATAAATATTTCATTGTTTACGTGATCCATCTGTAATCCCAGACAATATTTTGTCTTTCCAAAATCTTTGATCTCAAATTCTTTCTTTAGATATTCAACTGCAATTTGGATCTCTTCAGGAATTCCAATTAAATTAAGATCATCAACATATATAGCAATAATGACAAAATTTGATCTATTTTTCTTTATAAAGACGCATGGGCATATTGAATTATTAGTATAACATTCTTTTATTAAACATTCGATCAGACGGTTATACCACATTCGCCCTGATTGTTTAAGTCCATACAATGACTTTTTCAATTTGATGGAATATGATTCCCTTGGGTTTAATTTGTATGCTTCAGGCATATTGTATCCCTCAGGGACTTTCATATAAATATCAGTATCCAAGGAGCCATAAAGATATGCAGTGACTACGTCTAAAAGACGCATATCGAGTTTTTCTCGCACTGCTAGGCTCACAAGGTATCTAAATGTTATTCCATCAACAACTGGAGAGTACGTTTCATCAAAATCTACTCCAGGCCTTTGTAAGAATCCCTGAGCTACAAGACGGACTTTATATCTCACAATTTCATTATGCTCATTTCTTTTTCGTACAAACACCCATTTGTATCCAACTGGTTTTATACCATCTGGTGTTTGAACAATTGGTCCGAAGACCTCTCTTTTGTTTAATTAGTCAAGCTCTGATTGAATTGCATGTTTCCATTTTGGCCAGTCATTTCTTTGCCGACATTCATGAACCGATTTTGGCTCTGGATCCTCATTTTCTTCCATTATATCAAGTGCTAAACTGTATGCGAAGGCATTATCAATAATTGTCTCTTTACGGTTCCAACATTTTCTTGAATATAGTTAATTGAGTTTTCAATAATCTCATCATGTTCTTCAAGATCGTGCTCTTCTGGAGCAATTATTTCAGGGTTGACTTCCTCGTTAGATCGAGGTTTATCAATGTCATTCCTGATATTTTCATGATTATCATCATTAATTCCTCTTTTCTTTCGAGGGTGTTTATCTTTGGAACCGAGTGGTCTACCACGCTTTAAGTGTGTCGCTGATTCATTAGCACTTGCAATTTGTCAATCAGGGACAATTATTTTAGCGGTGCATTAGCAGTTTGGATATATGATCGAGTGACTTTGCTCGAGTCACTAAATGCATCTGGTAACTGATTTGCAATATTTTGCAAATGTATAATGCGTTGAACTTCTAGTTCACACTGCTTTGTACGAGGATCACAAAAATCCAATGGGATTTTCCAATTAATATCCCTTTTCGGTTCGTTTTTGTCTCCCCCTAATGTCGGAAAATAGATTCGTCAAAATGACAATATGCAAATCTTGCAGTGAATAAATCACCCGTCATAGGTTCAAGATATTTTATAATTGACGGCGATTCATATCCAACATAAATGCCCAATCTACGTTGAGGACCCATTTTTGTACGTTTGGGGGGTGGAATAGGAACATAAACAGCGCACCCAAAAATACGTAGATGAGATATATTTAGTTCGTGACCAAATACTAACTGCATTGGGGAATAGCTATGATAGCTTGTCAGCCTCATTCTTATAAGTGTTCTTGCATGTAAAATTGCATGCCCCCAAGCTGAAACGGGCAACATAGACCTCATCAGTAATGGTCTAGAAATCAATTGCAATATTTTAATAAGTGATTCTGCCAGGTCATTTTGTGTATCAACATGAGCAACTGGGTGCTCTACATTAATTCCAATCGACATGCAATAATCATCAAATGCATTCGATGTATATTCAGCAGCATTATCCAGACGTATAGTCTTAATTGGATTATCGGGGAATTGTGCCCGTAATTTAATAATTTGGGCAAGCAATCTTGCAAATGCCACATTGCGAATAGATAATAAACAGACATGTGACCATCTGGTAGATGCATCAGTAAACACCATAAAATATTTAAATGGCTCACACGGTGGGTCTATTGGTCCACATATATCCCCGTGTATTCTTTCCAAAAATGTAGGTGATTCAATACCTACTTTAGCTGGCGATGGTCTGGTTATCAATTTTCCCTGAGTGCAGGCAACACATGTTAACTCATCTAAGTTTAACACTTTTTGATCTTTTAATGAATTGTCATGCGAATTCTCAATTATTCGCCTCATCGTTATGCTGCCAGGATGCCTAAGGCAATCATGCCATATTTGAAAATCGGTAGTCCTTTAATCTACCGTGAGGTGTGTTTCAACAACACCTAATCTAGCATAATATAAGCCGGTAGAGAGTGATGGTAATCTCTCAATGATGCATTTCCTTTTATCAATGATATTGGTGATCAATAAAAATTCACCATCGGTATCACTCATAGTCTCAATGTGATAACCATTTTTTCGAATGTCATGAAAGCTCAGTAGATTTCTTCGAGCTTTAGTGGCCAACAGTGCATACTGTATCACAATTTTCGTCCCCGCGGGGAGAAATATAATGGCTTCTCCAGAGCCTTGAATTAATTTCGCACTGCCACTTATTGTATTGACATTCATCTTTTCCCTTTTCAAATGGGAGAAATATTTTTTGTGTTTCAATATGGTATGTGTCGTTGCACTGTCAATGAAACACATAATTGCATCATTATTTGGCATCCATTTAACCAAAAATAAAATAAGTAAGAGCCCTTGTGCTGATAACGTGTTATGTAATAATAATATATTATAAAGGTAAGTGTGATATATGTATGTACGAGTACGAGTGTGTTTGTAAATATATATATATATATTTAAAGATGTATATATATGTATATAGTTATAGAGGGAGAGAGAGAAACATGACAACAATAATAAATGTTTGATTGAGGAATTCTCTGTGTGTGTTCATTCATGATCTTATCACACATATTTATAGGTGGGGTGAACAATAATTATAGTACACATAGTAATTTGTTGTATAACATGCATCCATACACTAAAATATATCTACGTCGATGTGATGTGTATAATATGTGTATAACATATCCACGTATTATTATGGTTTTTATGGAGTATTATATGGTGAGCAGTTTGCATGAGCTGCACTGCAAAGATTGAAGAGAATTGGCCTGTATGAGAATTGTTGTTACAGGTGATTCAATCACTTATTTTTATTTATTATATTATATTAAAATTTATTTTTATATTTAAAATATCACATCAATTATTTCAATTTAAAATTTTATTATTTAACACCTAAATTAAAAACTAAAACTTTTCGAACAATTATTTAAATTTAAAATTTTATTATTTAATCAAAATTTAAAATTAAAACCCTATAAAACACACGTTTACTTTAAGGCTCTATTCAGTTGAAGGAATTTGAATTAAAGTTATTTTAAATAATTTTATTTAGCAATACTTTGGATTTGAGATCTCCATGTGTATTTTGGATTTCAAATCTAGCATTTCAAATATTTTATTGTATTGTAGCATTTCAAGTAATTCTTGTAACAAAATAATTTCAAATTCAAAGTAATTTAAAATCTATTCTTAAATTCAAATCCATCCAACTATACATGACTTAAATTTATTTATTAACTAATCGTTATTATTTATTTTTAAAAAATATATTTTGTTTTACAGCATATCATATTCTAATACTATTTAAATACAAACATAAATCAAACTTACCCTTTCATATATGTATGTATATATATATATATATACACATGCTGTTTTATAATTAAAATATTATTTCAAATAATTAATCATTTCCTAATAATGGACAAAACACTCTTGTTTACTTATAAGATTTTACCATTGATTTTACTATTCCAATTTTTTTTTTTCTCTAAAAACATCAAATCAAACATCCAATTTTTATTTATTTTATTACACTAAAATCTAATTTTACATTCACAATATCGGAGAATACATATTTGTATCACATCAAACAACTATTTTAATTCAAAATTTTCCTATTTAAAATCAAAATCCAAAATCAAAACCTCACAAGTAAACACATGCATAAAGAAGAAAAGATCTCGAGTGATTGCCATAAATTTTTCTTCATAAATTACTTTAATATTTCTAACATTACAAGAACATCTTGATTATCAGCGAAGAAAAAAAGAAAAAAAAAATGAGTCGAACCAAACAAAAGTTAACCTTGACAAGTCCTTTGAATGAGGTCATCAAGCTCGATTTTGATAGCAAAATAGAGTTGTTTCCACTTCTCCACAGTCTCATCTCTCCTCGCCATTTCCTCGTCCTCCTTGAGACAACATTTTTTCCTAGTACTTGTTGTCCCTAATTTTTCCCGATCTTGGACAGCCTTCCGGAGTTTTCTTACCTCCTCTTTAAGCCTCTTACGATGTCTCTTCCACTCGGCTTGTTTTAAGGCAAAGGCCATTAATTCTCTCTTGTAGAGTTGGCTCTCGGCTTCGCGTATGCACATGATCTCATCGATCTCGTGTTGTAGCAGCCTCACTTCCGTTTTGAGCCTTTCGACGATGGCCCTTTCGCCATTTTTCGATTTCTTGTCTTTGGTGTGACAGCTGCCCATCATGTGTGTTTGTTTTGGTTAAGGATGAAATATGTATATGTGTAAGAATGGCCTTATATATATATAGGACCAAGTAGTTAGTCTTATATATGTCACTAGACAATAGATATATTTTGTCATTTAAGATGTTCACAAATAATGTACGTGTATTTTTATATAGTAGATGTGAACTCTATAGTATTGATAATATTCCCGACTCATTTGTCCTTTTTTTTTTTTAAAGTGAATTAAAAAATAATAGTATTTTATTAATTAGTGAAAATATGACGATAATTTGACATTATTGTACTTACAAAATACTAATAGAATAATGATATATTTATAATTTGTGTAAAAATAAAAATAGTTTGGTATTTATACATAAATTAAAATACTTTTACTATATTAAAAAATAAATACTTTTAACGTAAATAATAAAAATGATATTTTGAAACTGATAAAAGTACTTCTATCATTTTATGTAAAAAGTATCAAAATGCCACTTTCAACTTATATATATATATATTTTTTATTAGATGTGAGCACTTACAGTAATAAGGATATTTAAATTTTTATACACTAATATGTTGTTTATTATATATAAAATATTATTATTATTTTTTTAGTTTACGTGCCAATAAAAATATCTATACTTAATAGGAGAGAGTGTTTTCTCGACTGTGTAAATTAGTGATGTGCATGAGGTTGTTTATATATATATATATATATAATATATATATATATGTCGTTAGATAATTCAAAATATAAAATAATATTAATTCAAAATTTGAGATATATATATATGTTTGTGGAATTTATTGAAGTTTAAGAGAGAGAGATAGAGGCTCCTGTCATGTAATGAGTGTGACGAAACCATGAGATATATATAATTCAAAAACTTTTCAATGTAGTAATAAATAAGGTTATGCATATGTACACACTCATGAAAATATATACTTCCTCCGTCCAATTTATATTGTACTAAAGTATATTTGCATGGTTTTTTAGGTCTTTTATTTTTGTTATGAATTGACAAATTTACCCTTAATTGTATGGTAAAGATTGAAAGTAATAAATGAATGAAGGGTAAAAATGTAAAATTTGTGTTTAAAAAACGAAATAGGACAATAGTTGTTGGACGTTCCAAATAGGAAAGTAGGACATTAGTTTGTGGACGGAGGGAGTACAATATTATATTCATGAGTGTTTGAATATAAAGTGGAACAAGTGTTAAACATATATATATATATATATATATGGTACAAAAAGTGATCCAATATTCCAAATTCTTGTATATCAACCAAAAAGAAAAAAAAATTAAAAAATCAAACAAATAGATTTATGCTATGCCTATAAAAATAGTCGATTTATTTAATTATTATTATTTTAAAATTATACCAATATTGTGTTTTTATTTTAAAATTTATTATTTCCAAACCCTAAATTGAATGGGAACCATGAAGCAAACACAACTGATGCGATCATGAAATTGAAGTTTTTAATAATTCTAATAATAATATTTGAATGCACATTATTATTAGAAATTGGAATTGGTCGTAAAAGCAATTTCTGACCATACAAAATTACCCACCCGATCGAATTACTCTCTCCACACAACTAACTAACTAACTAACTAACTTTTAATTTCCTTTAATTATATATATATATATATATGATGAATTATTATTATTATATATTGGCATAATTAAAAACATAAATAATAATTATTATTATAATAATAATGGCAGGCTACAACAGATTGTGTTCGAAGGTCATTCCTCCAGAATTATTGTGTTTCAAAAGGCCATTCGTCTCTGCAACAAACCCATCCTTTAAAGTGAGTTTTATTTTATATGTTCAAAAGTTGCATATGAATCCTTTTCTGGTTTTATTGAATTTGAAAATTTGAAATTTTAATTTAGATAATATTTATTCGAAAAGGAAAATCGGATAAAAACTAAAAAAATACACATGTATGTATATATATTTCATTACTGCAAATGCTCTTTCCAAATTTACTCATTTTAATGAAGATAATATAATATGTTTTTATATATATACATATTAAAGTTGTGAACTGTGAGGAACTAATAATATGTTGCTTCTTTGTATTGTTGTCTTTTATCATCTAATTTGTTGATTTTTATTAAATAATACTTACTTCATCCAGACATAAAGTATACATATTTCTATTTTGGGACGTCCAATTACAGAATAAATATTTCGTTAAATATTCTACTTTTTTTTCACAAATACCCTTACTACATCACATCATTATTTTTACAAAAAAAAAAGTAAGGTAAAAATATCATTACACTACCTTTAACCACTCATTATAAATACTATTATTTGTTAAACACTGCGCCAAAAATAAATATATACATTATAAGTGGACGGAGGGAGTAATATATATATTTGTTGGGTAATATTTTTGGAGAACAATGCTATTTGATTGTTTGTTTGACAAAACCAACTTAAGATTCTATTCTTTTTTACGAGTTTTTTTTAATAAGATGCACTTATTATTTTTCTCGAAAGATATTACTTTAAATTCATGTACTACTTTATATGTGAACTATTTTCACTAATTTTCAAATGCATATTGAAAATTTTAATATATGAAGGAAAGAATACCATTGAACATTATGTATATTTTTTCAATGCATAAACGTACTGAAGGAAGTTAAATTTTTTATTAATTGAACATAGCAATATTTATTTATTCAGGAAAAAAATAAAATAAAATAAAATAAATTATAAATGCAGGAAAAGAATGGAGAAGAAAAGAAGGAAAAAATCGCAAAAGCATCAGAATCAGTGAAAGAAGGGACACAAAACATCGTTAAAGAAGTGAAACGTGTTAGCCAATCTGTCATAGACGAGATTGATACTTCTCAAGATGTGAGTCTATTTTGTTTTTGTTTATTTTACAATTATTTTTATTTTTTATTTAACAATTGTATGCAAAGATATAAATCTTTTAATAAAAGATTATATTCACACTAATATTAAAAAAATATTACACACATACCATTTTTCAGAATTTTGTTCAGTTTTTTTTTTTTCTTTTTCTTTTATTCAATTCATACCATTTTTCAATTAAAAAAAATATATATTTTTTTTCTTAACAAAATATCATATTTCAACTACCTATTATATATAAAATACAACTATAAACACAACTTTGTATTTATTTTTATATTATATTCACACTAAAATAGGTATTTGACATTATATAAATATATGTACGGTGTGATGTTTTAAACGAGAAAACAGTTGTTTTGTGTAATAATTAAGGAACGAAAAACATGTGTTTTTGGTTTTGGAATGAAAAAAAAATCGATGAATAATGCAATCGTAAAACTAAACTTTAAATTATTTTAAACATATTCATTTCTCAAATTTTACGAGTATATATTTTTACAAACATCAATAAAATGTTATTTAAATATTAAATAAAAACTAAATATTTCAATTCAAACTCGCATAAACACAAATATTTTGTAAACAAAAATGAGTTTGTTCATTTTTCATTTTTCGATAGATATATTTTTTAAGTTAACTATGTAAAGTTATATTGATAATATAATAAATAATATTTTATATTGATTCTTTTATATATATATTTTATATGACTGAATAAAGTATATATATTATGTTAGTGAATTTATATTGTAATTTTTTACATAATATTTATGAAGAATTATTGTTAAAAAAAACTCTAAGTGAACAAATCTATTAATATAAATTGTTTATCATTTTTATTACAGAAGGTTGGGAAAGCTTCAACAAAGGAGGATGAAGACAACAAAAAAGGCTAACACTTTTGTAAATATAAATAAATTAAAATCGCACAAAGTCTTGAAAGAAAATTTGAAATATACAGTGGCAGAATTAGCCCTCCGAACTGTAGGGGGGCTGACCGCTAATTTATTACTATTGAATATCGATACAACATCGTTTGATCCGATTTTCTTTTGTACAAGAACAACGGTGAAAAAGAAGAAAATATAAGTAAAATATAATATTAATTTTTTGAATGAAAGTATAATTTAATATAATCAAATTCAAAGCAGACAAAAACAACTCAAAATAATAATTATTTTTTAAGTTTTTTACATTTTGAAAGTCTTCATCACTTTTTAATAAAGTAAATCTATTTACCATATTAATGTAGTACTTATTATGCTCCGAAATATCAATGCAAATGACTCATTCATATCTTTATTCATTGTTTCTACTAACACAAAATTCACTTTCTTGATGAATCCACAAACATATGGGAGTGTAGTACAATGCTTCCTAAAAATATAGATAGAATGTCACACAGAGTGCTTGCAGAGGATAAAAATCAAAACAAGTAGAAATCCTTCACAACAATAAAAGAAAGCACCATACTAAATATAAAACTAAAGCCATGGACACAAATGGTTGCAATATGTCGTTCTAACCAAAATAACAAATACATTTTGTTTGAATTTCTGAAACATATACGTCCATCAGTGACAAACTAGGATCTCGATTGTGGGGGCAAAATGTTATAATTTATTTAATATTTAACTAATAAATTTAAAATAAAATTAATGAAATAATTATATATAAATTTAGATAGTTTTTTAAAAAACAAATTATATATAAATAAAAAAATAAAATTTTAACATTAAAAAAAATAGTAAAAAATTAGGCTAGGGAATCAATTGCCCCCAAACCCACTGGAGTTCCGTCCTTGTGCCTCACAATCACAATATTCACTGAAATATTTTTTATATTTATTTTACTATATAATTTTATCAAGTAAAATATATTAATTTTTTTTTTAAATTTAAAATCACATATTATAAACTAGGTAAAAAACTAAAATAAAATATTATTAAAATAATTGATAAAACTAGTAGGATAAATATAAAAAATACGAGAAATTAATTATTATTTATTATAAATAATACATAAATTTAGGGGGGAAAAAAAATCATGAAATAATTTTGACGAATAAAATGAGTATTTCTTTATTTGTTTATTTTGTATACTATTCTATTACTATTATTTATTTATTTTGAGAAAGGGTTGACGAGCACCCATAGAAATTAGACACATCGAGCCTAAAATAATAGGCTTCCGTAGGAGGCTGCTACAGAAACTAACCAATAGAAAATAATAATAATAATATAATAAATTGACAAGAGAGAAGAGAAGAGAAAACGGCGGCCCGGCCAGTTGTCCGCAACATAAGATGAAGCGAGAGTCCGACAACTGTCCCGTCCCACTCACCCGATAGCCGCCACGTGTCCTCCACAGCCCGTCGGATGGACGGCCAGATTTGCATTACATGTACGTATACACACACGTATCAACCTCCCAATCGTCGCATCGCTCTCTGTACTCAGTCTGGACCACTTTTCCTCGCCAGTTCCCATGGATGATATATTTAATAATATCTCTCTATTTCGTCCAGAAATAGCAAAATTTCTGAAAATGGATCACACCAATCCATACAAGCCAAATTCCGAACAAACCAGAATCATCTTCTCTAAATCTCTTCTACAAAGATACATAATATATATATGTAATGTCTGGTTTCTTCACACACAGTCGGGAGTTTTTGAAAAGCACACCAAAATCCACATACATCGCCGTCGCCGGTGAGTGATAGCTATATATATATGTATATGGATATGCAGGTTTTTAGTCGAGGGGGAAGTACGGTCCGGTGCCGTCGGGCTTGTCGGCGGCGTCGGGGATGCTGGTGTAGCAGTAGAGGTGGTTGGCGAGCACCCAGCCCCAATCTGGCCTCCTTTGCAAGGAGAGAGTCGGCCACCGGTTTATCCTCATGTAATGCTCCCTGATTTTGCCGTCGCCGAACAGGCCGGTCACGATCGTGTAGCACGACTCGTGCCCGCCCCACACCGGATCGTCTGGATCCGCCGTTATGCTGCCGTCGGGGTGGAAGTACCGCCGCAGTGGCGGACCGCTGCCGGTCCAGTACGGATCCAGGTTCCGCCAGTACTCCGACGCTGCCTGCCAGAGACAAAAAAATCACACCAGTTTTTCTATGGAAATGTTGGACGATTAAAAATCGATTTTCTCTTACTTTTTATTAAATTTTGACGAACTAGCATGCATACAGGGATAATTTGGAAAAACGAGGGTTAGTTGGTTAGAATTTTGTTATGCTGGTGAGTTGTCTGTTTCTGTATGGTGCCATGGTTGTTTCCGGAGCTCTATCTACGTATTAATTCTCTGCTTCTGTTTCAGGACTAGTTAGGTGATTATTGCAGATTCAGTTTTGGGGTTCTTGGAGATGTGAATATTGTTGGTCAGAGAGACTTCCTTGGCAACAGTGTTAGCACATTTCAAGATTCAATCTCTGAGAGCCAAAGAATGCAGGTAGCATTTCCATTGACCAGATAAGAATCAACCCAGGAAGACTGTTGGTAAGTGCTCGATAACAGCTCATTTTTGTACATACCTACATTCTTTCTTTTCAGAATTAATGTTTATATATATTATGCATTGAACTAAATCTATTGACACATGAAGAGGAAGTGATCAAGAACGGGCACACACCAAAAAAAAAATGAAGAGTAAAAAAAGAAAAGAAATAATAGCAGTCTAAATAGATGATTAAATTAAGAATATGTGGTGGAAATGGTGAGAAATAGGTTTCAGTTTCATTTTAGAAAAAACACTATTGTATTTTGATATGAAGTCACATAATTGCAATTTAAACTCATCAAATAGGTATACTATTATCTGTTCTGTATTGAAATTCAAGAGCAGAGCAAGAAACTAAAATTTTCGTATGGGGCATGAATTAGATACTGTTCAGTTCAGTTCGAACATCACAATACTTCATATTGACATAGGGAGATGAGAGCAATAGGACTCTTATCTCTAAAACACAATTCAAGATTTAGAAATCTATGTGAGGGATGTTTCAAAACAACAGTAGATTTGAAAAGATAATCTTGACAAAATGAGCTGCTTCAATTAAAGGCAGGATCCTAAGACGAAGGATAGGGTTACACTCTGCACTTTTCAATCAAATTTAGAGCTTTGGCACCGTAGTAAGAATTGGCTCCTATTAAGCATTTTAGGTATGAAAACAGATACTCCTTTTTCATATGCTAAAACAGTTACAACCAAGGAAGAAATAGAACAATGTATATGCATGTTCCAGCAGATGTTTCCAAGGCAAGATAAGTTCTAGGACAGAAAATCAAACACCGAAATGCATACCTCATTGAAATGAAATTCCCAAATATGATCACAGAGATCATGCCGAGTGATCCTCGTCTGTCATCAAGAATTTTAGATTAGAAAACTATGCTGCTAACAATAGATTATTTAGCAGTAAGACACCATGAATGAATGCATATATTTGTGACTTTTATGGATTTATGTGAGGTTCTGTGTGTGTGTGTGTGTGAGAGAGAGAGAGAGAGAGAAGGAGATAGAGAGAGAGAGAGATAGGGACTCACTCTTTTACCATCCTTAATAGATCGTGAATAAGCAACATACTTCGGAAGTCCTTGAACTTTCGCAATGCGGGGTATGTGTGCTTTACCTTGCCACAACTCTTCACACTGAGAATAAAAATGCAACTTTTATTACCTCAACTCCTCAAATAAATAGAAAAACAAAATAGAACATATTGATTGCTTAATAAAAGAGATAACAGCAGGTCTGCATAGGGAACAACTAGGATCAATAAGTATATTACTACCACATAGAATACATATAAGCAGGTGAAGATGCACACTAAAATCTTCTGAGCGCGAATGAAACTACCTTACTTATACATAACCACCACACCTCAATAAAAATCTGCCGTCTATAACTGGTGGAGTAAGGCAATAATAGAGAAGTCTTTTGGTAAAATATTTCTATTATATAGTGAAACTGTAAGAGAGCTTATTAGCCCCTAAGTGACCCTTGGATGAGGCGGTGAATCAGCCCCTTCCCCCCATTGAGTCAAGAAAAGGTTGGAGGCTTTCACTCTGTTGAAAACCTTCTTTCCCAGAATCGAGGCTATATATACTGGTTGATTGTTCTGGATTCCCCTAATACTGATATTTAAAAGCAGGGTTCACCATCTAATAGAATAGTACCGTTTCACAGAAGGTTAGATATAAGAAAGCTTCATTTCCATAAATCTATTGGGCTATGTAAAGACAAAATAAAGAATTCTGTTATTCCACTACTGGAAATGGTTCATCCTTTAAAGAATATAAGAGAATCATTCTCCCCTGACCATTACTGTAGAACAAGTCATATATGTTAATCAAAATTTTGGAAGGAAACAAGTTAGTTCATGAAAGACTTCAGTGACCACAAACTTCTTCTCCCCAACATGCAATTGCAACTATGTACTGTAAATAATGTTCCAGTGAATGGTTTCAACACTTCATTCACAAGAACTTAAAGCTATACCATAATCTTGATATGCTTTATTTTTCCCCTGCTTCCATATTATTACTAAAAATCTTCAGTCGAGAAAAGTATCATTGAATCACCGTATGATTAAGTTTGTGTCTTTTATTATTAATATAGAGTAAGGTTTACTAAAAAGTGATTACAAGAACTACAAGGTTCTTACAATGGTGAGAGAAACTAGAGATGATAGGAACATAAACCTCATAAGAAAATCCTAAATACTATGGTTGTGTTGGTTTAACCACATAATTTTACTATTCAGATTATTTTTTCCTCCAAAAATATCAAATTAAATAATTACTTTACTTGTTAAAATTATATTACAAATCTATTTTACATTCAAAACATCACATCAACATTTATTTATATCACATCAAACAACAACTTTTTGCTATTCAAAAATCGAAACCCACAAACAAAAATACTTTAAGTAATTTTTAACCAAATCAATGGACAAGTTGTCTCAGAATATGCATGCAACCATTTCCGCACGACACAGAAACAATTTCAGAAACAGATTATCATACAACATATGACATGTTATCTCTTACTACCTCAAACCTAAGACATCTTATTTCTACACTCTAATACCCTCAAAAACAGCTTGACAGGTTACAAAGAAACAGGGAATAGCTTCCTGGCATATTTTTTGTGGACGAAGAGGTAGCAAGGGGATGCGACGGTTGATATGTACATTCTGTAGATCTTGTCCTTATGGAAAGCAAAGGTCGTTTTCATCATCACTCTCATTGTTTTAGCTTCACATATGTGAACTTTAGTTTTTGTATTCTACACAATGTATATTTACTAATTTTCAACATCATCTTTGATTTATTTATTTATTCACACTTATCTAATTGCTCATTGAACTCCTGCTGGTGACTTATTGACAACTGTTCGCCATTACTCAGCTCATTATGACACAATCACCAAATATCATTTTGCATGATGTCAATTATCTATGCGCTCCATTTTTATTGGGTTAGCTTTCATATTATAATTCTATGATTTACAAATACAGCATTGTACATAACAACATTTGATACATGTATAAACAGGAGATTATCCTAACAGCTTTTCACATTTGTAGTAGTTTTTAGTGTGTATTTGTTTAAATCAGAGGTTAATTTATTCTAGAGCTTGGATTTTTCTGAACCTAGGACTAGCAAAATATGGATAGGAATGATTACAACCAATTATTGGATGTGTGAATATGAAAATGCCTTTTCCATCTACTTCTCTATAATTTACCTTAGAAACCAGAGCCTTATTCTCTTATAACAATAATTAAATGTTCTTAAAAGTAATATGCTAGTAGAAACTATATCTTAGAGGCATTTGCTGATTAGTATTCATCCTAACTACTAAGCATCCTGTAAGGAACCACGGAAATACGATGTTGATAGTTTATACTTTTATGATATCTTTAGAACTTGAAGATTATTTATTTCACCATTGTATCAGAGCTTTGCTTTTATATTTTCCGTCACTCCGCTGAAGTAAGGATCAATATTGCATTAGAATTTTTAGATTTTATCTATTTGTTAGTTTTGGAGACTACACATAAACGATTGGACTAAACTTAATCTTAATCTCCATCATTGTGAAGCTTTAAGTTTGTAGTTAAGGTTGGCTTCTCAATTGTCTAAAAGTGACTTTCTCATTAGCCCGTTTAGAAGTAGATAGCTTGTCTTAAATATAAATATTCTTTTGTTTATGTATATATCGTAAGTGTTCTGAATAGTATGAAATTGGTCCTACCTAAAATATTATGCTATCCTCCCTTTCAAATTTCTTTGTCATAGTTCAACTAATGTAAAAAATCATAATACATTCCATAAAATATTGAATTAAGATTTGATAAATCGAGTGGGAGTATTGTGCTTTTACTATAGTTCAGTAGAACACTTCGTACAATACTTAATATGGCTTGTAGGTAGAACACTTCGTACAATACTTATATGGCTTGTAGCCTATACCAATTCATAAGATTTGATAAATTGAAGTGGGAGTATTGTGCTTTTACTATAGTTCGGTAAAAGACTTCATACAATCCTTAATATGGCTTGTTGCCTACACAACTTCATAAGATTTGATAAATTGAAGTGGGAGTATTGTGCTTCTCCTATAGTTTGGTAGAACACTCCATATAGTTAGATAATGCAAAATGACATCTAAAAGTTTAAATTATTTATCTACATATAGGAGTCAACCAACACACCTCCTTATGTTTGTCACTTTACGAAACTTGCACGTGGACAACAGCGAATAGGGGACGATGAGATTCGAAATCGAGACCTAAAACTCTGATACCACGTTAGATGATATAAATGACCGTCTCAGCTAAAATTTATACTTCGAATCATTTGGGAAGCACAATGACAAAAAACTATGACCAAACCCACAGGTCTGTAAATAACATATGCTTCCACATAACACCCTTTAACTATATGGTTTTGAGTTTAAACTGTTATGGATACACATTATTTATTTATTTATTTACAAATGAGAGTCAACTAACACATACAATACTTCACATAGCTTGTAGCCTACACCACTTCGTACTATACTTAATATGGCTTGTAACCTACACCACTTCGTACTATACTTAATATGGCTTGTAACCTACACCACACTATGGCTATTGCAATAGCCATGCTTTGATATGCGTGTTTGATTGACACTATTATTACAATAGAATATCTAATCCAACTCTCACAATGCATCAAATCTCTGACACTCAACTTGAAATAGTGAATATTGTATTTTATGACACTAGATCACTTTTTTTCAATTTGATTATGTTACTTATAATATAGATGATCTTCTAAATATCTTGGTTTAGTAAGATCTCATGAATAATGAGGGAAACAAATTGTATTTGATTGCACAACATAGTTCTTTTTGCATGTCAACCATATGTTCATATATTTGAGACATGAAATTTGAAACAAATAATATTTAATCCTTAAAGAGGTAGGATCAAATACATAATAATATAGTATATGCACATATATGTAAGATGTGTTCTAGTATTGTAGTTTTATTAAAGTAGATTCAACCATTCATCCACTTGCAAAGACACGTCTATACAAGTTGAGATATACTTCCCCTTCATAAAAAAATCCATTCATTTTTCTAATTTGTCTGTCATAAAAAACAAATTTGTTTTATTTTAGCCAAAAATCGTATCATCTTTTACCATCCTAACCATTTTTTCTACTTCTCTTACTATAAAAGACAAAAAGTACACATTACAATAAAACCTGTGCCCAAACCAAATGGCCATATGTTATTATTATTTGTTTTTGTTTATTTTGTATCATGCCTATAAATAAGCTTCTGATTTCATTATTAATTAAATACAACTCAAAATTTTTTCCTAAAATGTAGTATAGTATTATAGTCAAGTTCTCTTTGGGTATATTTGATAACCCCAAAAATCTTTGATTCAATTCTCCATCGTATTGCACTTCAAGTCTTTTGAGTATGTTAATCCTATAAATGGTTTTTTTTTTTTTTTTTTTTTTTTTTGTGAATTTGATATAATGCCAAGTTTTTATCTCTATTTGTTTTAATTACTCCTTCAAAGTTTTTGCCTTCGACTCCAACTCTGATTCCTTTCAAAGTTCTTGACCTCTTTCTTCCTACTCTATTCAGAGTTCCCGTCTCCCACTTTGACTTATTCGTGTAAATAGTTACTCTAAATGATTTTTTATTAAACATACGGAATGGGAAGGTGACACATGTTCCCTTGATTTTAGATCTTGATCTACATCTTTTATTATTTTAAAAAATATTTAAAACATTAATTTGAATATTTTTAATAATTTTATCTTTTATATTGTACTTAAAAAAATTTTAAATTCAAAACATCTTGTCATAATCAAACAACTTTTAATCTAAACTTTTATTATCCAAAACTGTAAACTCAATTTCAAATTGTACAACAAAACTAATCAAATTTGTTCCCTGTATATGCTTTATTTGTGGCTTGATTTTTCATTGCTACGTTTCTATAGTTACTATTTTGGATTTGAAGAGGGATGTTGAGATAATATATATATATGTTATATTATTATGAGATTATGTCTTTTTTATTTGGGTATATCCATTAGATTGTTTGTTATTACTTTCATTTTTCTTTTTG